TACCAGCGGTTCCGCGGGAGAAAGATGAGGCGGTCTGCTCCCATAAAGATTTACAGCCTTGGAAATCCTGTACAGGGTCGCTATGGGTCAGAATCGATTTGACACCTTAACAACAACAATTGTTAGGAATTGTCATGATTTCAAGTGTGTGATCATTTCATTCCATTGTTGAAGCTCAAATGGTCTGTCTTTGACCAGTGAGAGCCTAGTAGAGATGGCTCCTCAGTACTCTGACAGATTCTAGTAGACTCAGTTAGCTTTCCTACAATCTGATACAAGTATTGTATACATTTCTTGCTTCAGACCTGAAATCAGCCAGGTCTTCAAGGAACTCTGGTTTCCTTTAGGGAGAAACTTAAAGACTACATCTGGGCACTAAGGATGGTTCTTGATACTGACTGGATGTGGTGTCTAGGGTTTTCCTTGAATGTGTGTGTGTGTGTGTGTACATACTACCCACTGCAGTCGAGTTGATTACGACTCATGTGGACCCTATATGGGGTTGTAAATCTTTATGGAAGCAAAAAGCCTCATCTTTTTCCTGAGTTTAAGCCACCAACTTTGTGGTTAGTAGCCCAGTGCTTCTCCTACAGCACCAGCAGGGTTCCTTGTGTGTGTGTGTGTATATATATATGTATATAATATGTATATACACATACACACACACACACATTATGTATTTGTAAGTTGGTAAACCCACTGTCATCGAGCCAATTCTGACTCACTGCAACCCTATACAGGGTTTCCAAGATGGTAAATCTTTCAGGGAGTGAAGAGCCTCACCTTTCTAGTAAGGAGTGGTTGAAGGGTTTGAATCACTAAACTTGTGGTTAGCCAAATGCCTCATCCACAGTGCCACCAGGACTCCCTGTTTAAAGATAAAATGCCTCATGAATTTATGCAGATAATTCGAATTCAAATTCAGTGCTAGAAAGTGTTAATTTTTTCTTCAATATTAATTACATCTACATTTTCCTCCCTGTAAGCAGCAGTCAGGAATTCAAAGGAAGTATTACATTGGGCAAACCTGCTGCACAAGACCTCTTTATCAAGTGTTAAGGATGTCACCTTGAGGTTAAGGACTAGAGTGTTCCTGACTCAAGCTATATTTTTAGTCATCTCATATGCATGTGAAAGTTAAATGAATAAGGAAGACTGAAGAATTGATCCATTGGAATTTTGATGTTGGCCAAGAATATTGAAAGTACCATGGACTGCCAGAAGGACAAACAAGTCTGTCTGCAGAAACAAGGACAGTGAGACTTCATCTCCCAGACTTTAGACATAGTTATCAGAAGGGACTAGTCCCAGGAAAAGGACAGCACTGAAAAAGAGGAGGACCCCTCCCCACAAAAAGATGGCTTGACACAGTTTCTACAACAATGGGCTCAAACATTATAGCAGTTTTGATAATGATGCAGGATCTGGAAGTATTTCATTCTGTTGTGCGTGGGGATGTTATGAGTCAGAGCTAACTCCAAGGCACCTAGCAGCAACAACAGCGACACGTTTCCTTCCGCTCTGAGAATCCAGGTTGTCGACACAAAGGATGATGGGATTAGAATATCTCATAATTACTCATTTGCTTTATTTCATACAACAACCTCAGATTAACAGTATTAACAGTACCACCACCTATATGGGTACTGCAAACAGTTAAATTCATTTTGTGTCTCATCTCTCCCTTTCCCCATCCTTTAGTTGTTTTATCTACAATCAAAGCGTGTAGTTACTACATGCATTTTTCTCCTTTTTAATCCTCTTTTAGTCTTAGTTGTCCTTAGAACTCCAGACTTAATTTTATACCCCTGTCCTTAACGTTGGCGCCTCACTCTAGTCATTCTGGGTGTCTGAAGCTTATTGTTTGCAGGTGATCATTGGAGCAATGATCTCTGAATTCTTGCATATATAAGTTTATAGCCTTTATTCTTCAAAATCAGTTTGACTCGAGATAACATCTTTACCACATTTTCGTAGAGTATCTTCAGTGTGTTATATTCCACTTTTTTCGGTCATGGAAGTCCCCATCAGAGATGATAGTCCAGTTTGCTCTCCCTCATAAACCATGTGTTCTTTTTTTATCTAGCTGCCCAAATGATTTTATTCTTTGTCTTGAAGTATTTAAATTTTATTAGATTATATCTTGGTGTCTTGGTTGTATTCAGGTATGTGACATGCTATTTCTAATATGTAATTTCATGTCCCGCTCCCCACCCCCCAATTTTAGGAGCATTTTCTTGAATTAATAGTTTTAATTAACTATAAGGGGCTTAAAAATATTCATGGACAAATGGAATTAAAGGATAATCTGTATTGCAGATCTTCTTTGCCTTTCATAATTTGTAACTTTCTCTCAAATCTTTTGCCTTTCCCTGTTTCTTTTTTGATTTTTAAAAACTTTCCTTCTTTTCATTTCTCTTAACATATTAGTTGGTAGGTTTGAAGTTTCTTCTAGTTTAGTATTCATCTCTGGCATGAGTTTTTAAAAATCTCTAGCTCATGAATTAGTTTGGTTACTTAAGTAATGAGCTTTCCAATTCTGTTTTCCTATCTTACATCATTTTTTTTCTGTCTTTTAGCTCATTTTGAAAGAGGTGGTAAGTGCTGTTGAGTCAGTTCCGACTCATAGCGAACCTGCATAGGGTTTCTGAGGAGCAGTTGGATGATTTGAACTGCCAACCTTGTGGTTTGAAGTCCAGTGCTGATCCTAACCGCCCCACGCCACGACTCTGTACTAGTAGTGGTGGTATTTTGCTCATTATTATTTGCTCCCTCCCTTATAATTTGGTATACCATTTGACTCGATTGTTTTTACCATTTATGTGTTTTTACCATTGTGTGTGTGAGAAATTCGGTTTCTGAACTTTTAGAAGGAGGCATAATTACGGATAGCATTTCTAACTTCATAGAGTCTCCTCTCCTGTTGCTTTTAGCTAGTGTTTATAAATATGGTGGTTTGAGTTCTGAGGTCTTCTGGCTCTGTTTTACTTTGTTTTTCTCCCTCTATCTCCTTTCTTGTACTGTATAATAATGTTTTATACTGTCCATAGCAGTTTCTTCTCAGTTTGGGGTCTTGTCCTGGCGATTCAGTGTTAAGTCTGTAAAGGCTAGACTGTTTTAGCCCCTTCTGGCTTTCAGTGGGCCTTTTCTAGTCCCCTATATTGAACTGGGCGAAACTGCTTCCATTTTTAGTTGCTGCCCTGTGCTTTTCAGGAAATAGCTGTGGGCTTATTTTGGTGTTGATGTTGTGTTCGTAAATCCACTGTGCCTGCACTGTCACTGAAGCTGACATCGCTAGCTTGTCCCTTTCTGCTTATTTTGTGTGGTTCTTGGAGAGAATCTTGTCATCTAATTTTGTTGGAAATGGTTCTCCATTCTTTCTGTTGTTGTTTCTGCTGTCTCATGAAGCCGTCATTTTTTATGAGGACATCTGTAGAGATTCCAACACTTTCCGAGGCTTTTTGCTATTTTAATATCACTTTGAGCAGGACAGGATGAAGATATTTTGATGGCATATTAACTAGTAGATGTTCTTGGGTTACTGGTATATCTAACCAGTGTGAATGGCTATTCAAACTATGTGGCTGGAAGTTTTACTTGAGAGGAAAATTGGTATTATTTAGTAGTTATTAATTTGGTATTTAGTAGTTATTTAGTAGTATGTTAATTCATTAAACATTTACTGAATGTTAATTTTTAAAACACTGTACTAGGAGTTGTTGTTGTTAAGTGCCTTTGAGTTAGTTTCGAGTCTTAGTGACCCTGTATAGGGGTTCTGAGGCTTTTAAAAGCTTTGTGGGAGCAGAAATCTTCATCTTTCTTCCAGAGAGTGGCTGGCAGGCTCAAACCTCAGACCTTGTAGTTCGAACTTCAGTGCTTACCGTAATAGAGCCACTGAGCTCCCTACTAGAGGTAAACAGCAAAATAATAATAATAGTAAGAAGAATTTAACAAAACATATCATATATGGATAAAAAGTGAAACCTTTATTCTTTCCTTCTATCACCTTACTGAATTTGAAAGCTAAGTTTGACATCACTAAACCTAAATTGTTAAATTCGGATTCTCTGTTTTCAATTTGGAGCCCAGGTAGTATGTTGTTGTTGTTAAGTGCCGTCGAGTCAATTCTGACCCATAGCTACCCTGTATGAGGTTTCCAAGGAGTGGCTGGTGAGCTTGAACCACCGACCTTACAGTTCAAAAGACTTTGAAGTCTGATGCATTAGCCCATAGCACCACACCAGGACTCCCCTGGTAGTGTGGTGGTGGTGATGGTTATGTGTTGTAGAGTCGGTTCTGTCTCATAGCAACTCTGTACAGGGTTTCCAAGGCTGTAAATCTTTACAGGAGCAGAAAACCTCATCTTTATCCCCTGGGTAGTATAGCAACCCTGTATATATGCTATAAATCTTAATGGGAACAGAAAGCCTCATCTTTCTTCTGCAGAGATACTGGTAGATTCAAACTGCTGACCTTTTAGTTAGCAGCCCGGCTTGTTTGTAATCCAGGTAGTATAGTGGATTGCCTGTTGAGACCGATATGAAGTATATTTCACTGCTTACAGATAGATTAAAACAGCGCCCAGACTCAGTTTTCAGAGTGAGTAAAGCTTATTTATTTTAAGTGGAGAAAGAGATACAACTTCCATCCTATGGATTAGGGTTCGAAATTATACAGTGGTATTTTAATAGTAGTAGAAACTTTTGGAACCTTTATACTTGTCACCCCCATACAAATAGTGATTCTAATCAGTAACATTATTAGATCTAGTAATTCCATTGATAACACTCATGCTTTCCTAGAAGAGTATGGAAAGATTTCAGGTAATAGTTTGGTTGACAGCACCTATAGTAATGTAATTGATAGCTTGTAGATCCCACCCCACCCCTCCCCCCGATATACTTAGTTTTGAGCATGTTCATAATGTATTGAGGATGTTTATATGGCATTGCAATAGCCTCTAAGACATTTTTTTTTTTTTTTTTCTGATTTGCTTGCAGGTTCATGCATGGGAAATTTCAGACCAGTTGTTACAGATTCGGCAGGATGTGGAATCATGCTATTTTGCTGCACAGACCATGAAAATGAAGATTCAGACCTCATTTTATGAGCTCCCTACAGACTCTCATGCCTCTTTAAGGGACTCGTTGCTAACCCATATCCAGAACTTGAAAGACTTGTCACCTGTCATTGTAACGCAGGTAAATCCTGTGCTCATTAGGGAAATTTGTAAGATGATTTGGATTTTTCAAGGTTATTTCGATTGACATTCTAGGCCATATGTAAGGGAAAATTAATAATGTTATTATTACAGACTCATTGCTATAATGTTATAAATGGATAGATAGTAAATGAAAATTTAAAGTTTTTGTGCTAATCTTAAGGTTCACTTGGCTTCAAGCTAACTGAAACATCAAAAGTGGGGAAGTTGAGGGTACGTTTTCACAGGCACCCATGTGTCCCTGCTGTTAAAATTGTAGATAATAAAAGTCTAATATTCTCCTGGGTTAAAGGTAGACATAGTTGCCTTTTCTTTGGATTCTTTTGGGGCTGATTGACTAAGATGAGTTTTATTGGTTGAAGGAAGGTAGACTAGCACATCTGGCCTTTCCCCCTTAGACAGGGAAGGAAGTACGTTAGAAAAGAAAACTGGAAACTTAAGTGACTTGATACTCACATGTGCTCTCTGCCTGGCATAGAAGTGTCCTTGAAGAGGAGGCTTTTGCCTAAGGCTTCAAGATGAGAAATGGAAAGAAAAGGGAATGACAACCCATTATTTGAGGAGTGAGTCAAAGGTCTGACCTTGGCAATAGCTTTGGCCTTTTGGCAAATTATAATCTCTGTCCATGAAGTTCTATGGTATTGCCAAATAAAAGTAAGTATTGGTATTTTCTGAGGAAAATCTAGTCTGTTCTGTCAGACATTTTGTTGTTGTTTTCTTTTCTTTCTTTAATTTTGGAGGTTTTAAATCCCAACAGTTTATGGTTAGCCAGGAGAGTTTTATAGTCTGTGTATAGCTGGGGGGTGGGGGGGGCAGTCTTAGTTGTCGTATGATTTGGAAGAGATTTAGTATCTTTGATTTTCATATTGATGGTAACCCTATTTATGTTCCTCTGTTGTGCTCATTGATTTAATCTCGCTTCTTTTTATTCAGCTGGCTTTAGCAATAGCAGACCTTGCCCTACAGATGCCTTCCTGGAAGGGGTGTGTACAAACATTGGTGGAAAAGTAAGTAATTTGTGTTTATTGTGTATTTGTTGTTGTTAAGTACCGTGGAGTTGGTTCCGACTCAGTGACTCTGCACAGGGTTTCTCAGGCTGCAAATCTCTGTTGTGTATTATTGCATTTGAAATTCCCATCAACTTTGACAGAAATATGCTAACAGTCTAGGTATCCCCTGCTTTATGAAAATAGAGCAATTCCTATGAAATCTTTCAGAAGCCAAAATGGTGTAAACAAAGATGTAATTGCCATTAATGTATACGGGAAAAAATTTTGAGCATTCCCAAACTGAAAAAAGAACCTACCAAATCATACCACATACCACCTAGTATCTAAAATAAAAGAACTCCTAACATCCAGTGTTCACAGACACAGTTCAGAGTTGCAGCTGCTGGGTGTGGTGTACAGTTCCCTGGGAAGGAGCTTGAGACCCTACCATGCTGCTTGCTGTGTGTGCCGCCTCTAATGACGTGCTGCCAAACAAATGCTGAACATGAGGTTCCGAAAAGCAGAAGGCCTCTTTGGAGTTCTTTCAATTAGCAAAAACAGGTACTAATACAGCTCTTTCATAAAAGTGAAGTGGCATAAAGTGGACTTTTGAAAAGCAGGGGATACTTGTAGCTAGACAGTTGGACTATTTTCCTAAGCTATCAACAGAATATATATTAGCCTTTGTTGGGTCAAAAAAAAAAAAAATCATTAAAAGCTTTAAATACTATGAAAATATATCAGATAGGACATAAAAGACCCTCAAAATTTCTAATATTGCAGTTGTCTTATAGTTTACTTCCACTAACTGGCATATAAGCATTTAAAATTATATTAGATCAAAGGTTCTTAAAATTCTTATTAATTGGTTGGGTTTTGTTTTGTTTTCATATCATAGAGTATTGTTTTAAAATTCTTGGAGCCTAGTACATTTCATTAGTTCTATCAAGATAATCTGAATCTGCATTTTGGTATTTAGTTAGAAAATAATTTTAATAGTTACTGTTTTACGTTTATGAAAAGATGTCGTAAAGACTTGGGATGTTTATTGTTTTAAGAAATTTTTAATTAAAAAGTTAACCTGTTCATTGAAAAAAAATTTAACAGTATGAGAGCTTTCAAAGTAAAAAATGGACGCCTGTCTCTCCCTGACTCCCATCAATGAGTTAAATAACTGAATACTAGATAAATGCACACATATTTTTTTTTAAACGCACACCTATTTTAATTTTACTAAATGTGTACCTATTTATGTGTTCACCCATATGTAATATGTTTCATATACCTTTTCATTGAATAACTGTGGTCAGTTTTTCGTGTTACATTGTTAAGGGTGTTGAGTAGCTTCCAATCCATAGTGACTCTATATCGGGTTTCTAAGAAGCAGCTGCAGTTCAAGGTGTCATTTTGGTATATAGGGATCTCATTTATTACAATGGCTGTATATGTTTATTGTATATTCTTTTTATCCTAATTTTAAAGAACACTTAATGTTTTCCCAATGTTATAAAAGTACTGCAGTGAATGTCTTTGGTACTTATCTTTGCATCTTCAGTTCTCATTGTTCACTGTAGTTTTTTTCTGTTAAAATCTGTGTGAACACATTATTGAACCATTGCTCCTAGCGGACATGGAAGATTAGGTTCCTGCCAGCCTCTGGTCACAACATTTTCATCAACTGATCAATACAAACCTTGTTTTGTGTGTGTTTCTGTTTAAACACACCTTATTTAAAATATTTTATCAATTCATTAGCATTGAATTGTATAGCAGCTAAAATGCATGCCTGAACAGAGCTTAAATAACACGTTATTTCCTCTGTGTGGTACATTACAGACTTCTTGTGCTTAAGCACTAGACAGCACTTCTAACACTATGCTTGAGTTCCATTTTAAACAGCTAAGTCACCAACAAAAACGTGAACAAATGGCACTAAAAAGACTGCAAAAGACACTTGTTTGTCATATGAAACCTGAACAAGAAAGCAGTGTGGCCTTGTTCAACCTCAGTTGAGAATGTGTGTGCATTGGGTAACCTAAGATAACTTTTCACTGCTTTGTACTGCTCACGAAGAAATGTGAAAGTTCTGCAAGGGTTGATTTGGGGGTTGCAAATTTTAGTGAGTAGGCAGATTTGCAAATACAGAAATTGAAAGATCTTTTCAAACACCTTTCCAAAGGATTTTGTCTACTTCTCCCCCTCAACAGTAGTGAGAATGCCTTCTTTTGTTATCGGATTATTCTAATGATTGTTGTTTGTAATCTTCTGTAAATTGTGTATTTTCTTGTTGTATATAACTTCTGATGTATCTTTCCCCTTTTTCTTTGGCAGATATAGCAATGATGTAACTTCTCTGCCTTTTCTGTTGGAGATCCTTACAGTGTTACCTGAAGAAGTGCATAGTCGTTCCTTAAGAATTGGAGCTAACCGGCGCACAGAAATTATAGAAGATTTGGCCTTTTATTCTAGTACAGTGGTATCTCTCTTGGTGAGTAGGTTTGCAGTACTAAGTTGCTTTCCTAAGGGACAGAAATCCATGTTAGTTACTTTGTAATCCAATTGCATTTTTGTACATTTTCTTTGCAAAATTTGCCAACAACAATGCTTTTGATATTTATGTAACAACTTACAGTGACAGAATACTTTAAGAAACTATACTCCTTGAAATTCTGAGTAATGCTGTGGTTATTTGTAATTTGTAAATGAGAACTAAAACTGCTAAGTCAGAATTTTTGTTCAGGTTATGTATGCTGCAGATTATTGGCTCTTGATGAAGAGACATGCTAAGAGAGATTTGTATAAACTTATTTTACTAAAAAAATAAATCTTTAAAAATAAACCAATCTTAGAATGCTTTGAGATTTTACTGGACCTTTGAGCAACATAACAGTTGTAGAGTTTTCCTAATACCATGCTAAAAACAAAATGCTTGAATGTGATGAGGTCCTTTTGGATTCAAATTGTTTTAATTCTCTAGAGTACAATGGGCAAAACATAGTTTATGAGTTGGCTGCCTACTTTTGTAAGTAAAATTTTATTGGAACACAGTCATGCCCATTCATTTTCATATTGTCTGTTTCCCATTATTTTGGGCTATGGCAGTGAATGTCAACAGTTGTCACAAAGTCTGTATGGTCTGCAAAACCTAGAATATTTCTTCTCTAGCCCTTTACAGAAATTGTTTGATGACTCCTGTCATCAAACCCATTACCATCAAGTTAGTTCTGACTCATAGTGACTCTCTCTCGAGGGGTTCTGTATAAATCTTTACAGGAGCAGACCACCTCATCTTTTTCCCACAGAGTGGCTGGTGGGTTTGAACCACCACTCTTGTGTTTGGCAGTTAACAACCAACCCCTACTCCACAGTGCCACCAGAGCTCCTTGGCACCTACCCTTGATGGTACTAAATTGATTATCTAATCCACATCTCATTTTTAGATCTTTATAGTCCAGCTCAGTCCTCTCAATAATGTGTTTATATTTCTGCAACATCATTTAGATTGTTTTATTCAAAACAGTTTTTTTAATTGAATGGTGCTTGTTAGCAGTTCAATGAAAATTCTTTTCAGTTAACTATGTGCTTGGGGTTTTCAATTAACCAATTATTTTAAAGAAATTGCCAAGCAAATTATATTCAAGCCATTTGGCGATTATACTGTCAACCCATAAAATATGCTCTGTGAGCATACTTCTCTTAGAACATATGTACAGAATTTCTAATCCACATAAAATTATACTTTATGATCCCTCCTATATCCTTCCCTTTTCTGTAATTCAGCTCTGTCTTTCCGTTTCAGTTCATTTTCATATACAGGAAGGCTAGTCTAATACTCAGACCCCAGATTCAGATTCTTCAGTTGGTCTCCAGATATCCTTTACAGAGTTTTTCCAAATCAATATCTAGTCAGGGACAATACCTTGTACATATTAAGCTAGTATGTCTCTTGATTTAGTATAGTCCTTCTCCTTTTTAGAAGTGACACTGATTTGTTGAAGAAATTGGACAGTTGTTTTATATAATACTTTATCTCTGGTTTTTCTGGTTGCTGCTGCTTTGTTTCATTTTGCTTCTTTTCCTGTTCTTTGTATATTCTCTAATTAGAAGTTAGTCTGAAACAAGAGTTCCTCAAAAATTAAACTTTAGAATACCTAAAAGGGGTTCTAGAACTTACCAGTGAAATCGGCCTCTTGCAGAGCCTTTGCAGTGTGTAGGACCTTAGGTGGAATCCTGAGCCCCACCCAGAACCTTATGAGGTGGGACTTTCCCACTAGAAAGGACAAGCAAATCAGCCTGGAACAGCTAGAGCTGGAGCTACATCTTCAAAGAAAGATCATCAGGAAACACCCCAAACAAAAATGGCAGTATGATTGGCTACAAGAATAAGCAAGTTGTTCTCCGGAAAGCCTTTAAGGCAAGCAATCAAGTTCCTTTAGGTCAAAACCCCCTTAAAGACTGAAACTCAAAGGGAACACATGAGTAGGCATATAAACTTGCTGGCGACACCACATTGGTCTACTGGTGAGTGGAAGAGGGGGGAAAGGCAGCAATGAAGAAATGGGCTGAGTTCAGCCATGTTCCATAGACTTCCATTGACCTGGAGATGAGAGAGAGAAGAGGAAGGGCTGATTGGTTCAAAGTATGGTGAGACCTGGGGCCACCTGAGTCCATGGACAAGGTCATAGCCATGGAGGGCTGGAGCTGAGAGTGAAGCATCCAGCTGATAAGAAATGAGAGGAGACCTAGCCTCGAAGGCTTGACAATCAGAATTCAGCTAGAGGAAGATTTAAAAAACAAAAAACAATTTTTGATCAACGAAACAAGTGTAACTTGCTATAATTTGATGAACTTGACCTATACTCATGGATGGTAGTAGCTTAAAAAGGGAAGGAGTCTTCACATCAAGTATCAATGCTATCCCCTCTGTATACAGGGTAGATAGGGAAGGGCAACTTTAACATTGGCTACCTAAAATGAGAGGGTGATAAAGGCATAAAGTGACTGGCTTACAAGTTTTGAAGAGGGAGTTTAGCTTCAGAGTGTGCAGGGGAAGATAGAGTCCCCACTAAATAGTTTTCATCTTGTCCAGATGGGTCTGGTAAAAAGAGATGAGGATAAGCTGCTTATGATTCAGTAGTGAATAATTGTTATCATAACTAATTGTAACTGTCACAATTGTAAAGCTAGAAGTTTTGTAACAAAAAGGGGGGAGTAGTTAATCTTACAGTCTGGAAACAGAGGACCCTAGGGCCATCAAGGGAGATGAACACAAGCGGAATGTAGGACACTGTCTATAGAAGCAGTGACACCAGAGATGGAGGCAGAGATGGGGATATATGGAGAAAGGGAGCAGCTGAGAACTCTTTAAGATTCATGGAAAGAGAAGGGACTAAGAGCTGGTGGCCAGGAGGCAGGCTTGCAGAATGTGCCCTTTGGTGGTTTAAATGATTATATATACCTGAGTGTTTGTTTTTTTGTTGTTGTTGTTTTTAAAAAAAGCTAAAATGAATAGAGAGAAATACTGTTAACTGATGGTACATGGAGGGGATTATAATCATTGAAATGAAACAAAGTAGTTGATTTGTTGAATGTAAAACTGATGATGTGCCCTGTAAGCTTTCACTCAATTCACAATAAAAAATAAAAAAATTAAGCTTTAGTGAACTACAGCATCTATTGTGTGAATTGAATACTTTTCTATGCACTGGTAATAGTACTAACTATATATGGAGTTCTGGTGTGGTACTTTAAGATAGGCACTGGACCACAAGGTCATTTGAATTGCAAGGTCAATAGGTCAGTGGTTCAAAGTCACCAACCACTCCTTGGAAACTCTGTACAGGGCCACTGTGAGTCGGAACCCACATTTCAGCATTTAACAATAACGTGCTTTCCTTAGGTTAACTGAGAAAATCATCATTCAAATATTTTTCTGCAGTACCTCTTCCCAGGACCCTGGTTGAGAAAGGCTGGTTGATGGATACACATTAAACTATTTTTAGTGTAAATGCATTTTAGGTACTTCATGCTGTATCCCATCAGAAGAGACGTACTCTCTGGTTGATCGTCCATTAGTGACACTAGGATTGACCACTAGATTAGGATGATGACAGATTAATCTTTCCAATGAAATGCTTGTGATCATAGTATTATTTTGCAAGTGTCCAGTTCACTATCAGGAGTCCTGGTGTGATACTGTGGGTTAATGCGCTGGACTGCAGGGTTAGTTTGAACTATAAGGTTGGCGGTTCAAGCCCACCAGCCACTCCTTGGAAACCCTATGCAGGGTCGCTATGAGTTGGAACTGACTCGACGGCATTTAATAACTACAGTTCCCCATTAACCTTTGCCTAATGATTTTAAATTCCACTTGATAATATTTCCATTAACAGTAATTTCACTGTAATTTGCAAAATGATGTTTTTCTAATTCTATCATTCTCTCTATTTATGTTAGTATTCTTCTGGGCTCTTTACTAGAAAGACGTTGTTTTTGTTGTTAAGTGCCATCCAGTTGGTTCCGACTCATAGTGACTTGTATAGGGTTTCCAAGAAGCGGCTGGCGAGTTTGAACCGCCAACTTTGTGCTTCAAACCGACCTTGTGGTCCAGTGCTTTATCCAACAGCGCCACACTGGAAAGGTAGGATAAGTTTTAATTGTTTTATTGCAATAATGTTTTCAAATAAAGATTTATTTTAAAGCTGTTTCAAATACTATTTTTTCTGGCTTTCTCTTTTAGGAGTGTCATGGATTTTCATTGATTCAGAGTTTCCATTAAAATCATTCTTTTGGTGTTCAAAATGTCATAACTTTCCTCACTGAGAGCATTTCTCTGTTTAGCAACAGAAAAAGATGATTCTTGCCCATCTTGTTAACCTCCCTGCTCTCAATCTGGAATCTTTTTAAAAGGAATAGTATTTGCATCTGTCTGGGTCCAATCAGGAGAGAGAAACCACATAGTAATTTGAATGGGTAAAGTATATAGAAAGAATTATTAACCATAATGGGATTACAGTAACAAGAGATGGCTAGTAAGAACTAAGGGAACTCTAAAGAATGTACAAGGAGCAGATTCAAGAACCAGTCACTAACCAGAGGCATCTGCTCCAGAAGCATCAGCCAGAGTGTAGGGTGCTGACTGGTCAGTGCACAGCAGGAGCAGGACCCACCATGCCTGTGAGCAATGCAGGAGCCTGGTGCTGTCCCAAGAGCACACAGTACCAGGAAATGAGACCCTTTCTTCTGTAGTGTCTCTCTAGTATCCTGGTGATACAACTGGCACAGGAAGCAAAGACTTAAAGTCACAGATACTGTCACAGAGCAGTCTTAGGAAGATAAATTTGGAGCTGAGAAACAGTAAATCTGTCATCAGCCATAGTCCTCCCCTTTGACTTAGCAGGCTTTCAGATGCAACACTGTGAAGGTATATGGTTGGCCCTTCCAGATAAAGGAAGAAGGATTGTGTTGATCCTTTAAATCGGGATGGAGAAAAGCCAGGACAGTAGCTGCATAACACAAGCTACTACATCTCGGGCAGCAGCCACAATTTGTTTATGATTCACAGTCGCCAAGATCTATTAAATTGGCTTGCACAGGCCATACTGTGCATGAAGATGTAGTAGCTGTCACCCCACCTACGTCTTTTTAAAGTCTTTGAGAGTGGGATTCATCTCTTCAGTTCCTCAGGGATGCGGTATTGCTCTGGTTTACCATTTTAGAAGGGAATGAAAAATTCAGGGACTTCACGTAGCTTTTCCTACTATAGTTGTCCTCACTTTGTTGATCAGTGAACTGATGTGGAATTTCTGTCAGTTCCTAAGAATGATATATTCAGGAACTTTGAAAATAACCACTGGGTGGGTCTTTGAACCAAATACTTTTACTTTGAATTAAAATGTTACCACCTCACCATTATAAATAAGAGCAACCACCGAACTTATTGTAGGTATAAATGTTTTCCTCACTGATGCCTTCCCAGAACCTTGTGAAGGGAGTGTCGCCTGGACCTTCTCTTAGAACATAATTGTGGGGGGACTGTATAGAATGCACATGATAAACCAAGTCCAAAGTGCTCATCTACCCAAACCTTTGGATTTCCTCGTACACATCATGGCAGGAAAACTTTGGCAGCTCAATCTTATTGAATCCAAGTTTCTGTCTTTGTCAGCCAACCAAGGTGAGCTATTAGAGCTCTTATAACTTGAGTTGCTTCAGTCCAGAATCTCTTGGAAATACACCCATATCAATGCCGTGGCTCAGTGTAATGCTATATTTTGCTCTCACTTAGTCCAGAACCCTTAGAAATTCCCAAAGGTGTCTTCAGGTACTTACTAGCAAAGTTAGGTAAAATCTGATTTGACCCCAGTTATGTATGGGTCCAGTGGCAACAGAGATGGTTGTGAGGTCTTGAGAATGGGTATCCCCTTTTAAGGTAATCTGCCCCAGGTGAGGTTATCACAAGATTTTCAAACTGAGGAGGAAGGCTAGCCTGCACTGCAGAGCAGGCTACTAACACTGAGGGGACCGGCTCAGATTGGGAGGCAGAGTGACTTGGAGGTTTTAGATGATCAGTTTCATCTGAGTTAACCATCATTTCCATTAAAAGTTTCAGAATCTCACTCTTCACTAATCAATTTCCTAACACATGAGAGATTGGGTGAGACTGAATTCAACTGTTGTAATTCAGAGAACCACACAAGTAAGTTTTTGTTTGAGTTTCAGCAAAGTCAGTCCTGTGGCTACAAGGAACCAGAGCTTTTAGAGCTTTCATGGAAGTTAATCTCGTTCTCAGACTGTGACTTGAGCTGGGAGTTAACAGACCTAAACTTGTCATTTTCTTTTTTGTAAGTACTCAAGTGAATTCAGAGGAATCTAGCCAACACCTTAGTTCTTACAGTCATCATCATTGCCACACCATTAAGTGCAGCAGTCACTTGGTCTCTCAAGACACATGGTTCAGTTGGCACTTCGTCAGATCAGCCAGAGGTGATAGCTTGATGAATTGTGACAGAGTCTGAAAAGTCATCCCCTGTGCTGCTTAATAGGGTGTACAATTTTATCATGTTATAGAACCTGGAAGATGAAATTAGTCCTGAATTGCCAAGAAAAATAGGTGTTTGGTTGTAATACCAAGCACCTCTGGACTCTTAAAATCTTTACTATACAGGTCCTTCCAACAACCACAGTTAATGGTTCCATTCTATCTGATTTCTGGTTAGGAATCTTCTGTTGTGGTGTGTTCAAACAGACCTATTACTAAGCATTTCATTTGACATGCAGTTTTTTTTATTTTTTAATATTGCTCTTATTCTTACAGCTGAACTGAGCCTGGTCTCTAACATTTTTCTTCCTCCATTTATTTTCCATTTGGTTAATCTAAGATTTTAATTGTTAATTACAATCACACCAGTTGCCATTGAGTCAAACGTGATTCGTGATGTGTCAGAGTCCAGCTGTGCTCCATGGAGTTCTCAATGACTGATTGTTTGGAAGTAGATTGCCAGGCTCCACGGTATCTGTGTGGACTCAAACCTCCTCAACTTTGCAGTCTGATTAGAAGCTGAGCATATGAGCAGCACTGTGTAACAGTCACTCCTCTTCATCTTTTCAAGCATCGGGTGTGGTGCTGTAGGATAAGCACTGGACTGTGAACCCCAAGGTCTGCAGTTTAAACCCACCAGCTGCTCCTTGGAAACACCGTACAGGATCGCTATGAGTTGGAATCAACTTGACAGCACTTAACAAACACAACAGCAGTTGTGTTGAAGGCTAGGAATTGGGCTGCTAACTTCAAATTCTGCAGTTCAAACCATCAGCTGTTCCTCAAGAGAAAGATGAGACCATCTGCTCTCAAAAAGATTTAGTCTCTAAAGCGGTGTATAGGTTTTGGTTTTGGGTATGACCATGAATATCTGAATCTTAACTCTTTAGAGTGTGGTTTTCATAAACTTCTTTAATCATTTATTTTTTATTGACTGGTATTGCAAACAAATCTGTTGGGGGAAATTGGTTACCTGAAAGTACAGCATTTAGCATTTAAATCTGTTTTGAATATGCATTCTAGGAGGCCCCCATTTCCCGAACCCTCTGCCACTGTGGTAGTTGTTTCTAATCTATTGTCTGTTGAAGTTCTCTTTAAACAGTCTTTCTCCCAGAAAAGTTGCATTACATTTTACTTTGGGAAAAATAAATGTTATAAAAATGGTCTCTAAAGAGAAGCAGTGTTGTGTTTTAGTCTAACTTTGCTGTATTCTCTCATATCATATTTATAGTAGTGTCCCATCTGTGCTTGATTCAGATGCTGAAAGTGAAACTTTAGACTTCTGTTTTCATGTGGGAATGTATAGTAGTATGACTAGCTCATTTCTCCTCTATAAAAATCAGGTGCATAGGTGAGTAAACATTACTTTAAACAATGATGTTGATGTGACTGTATTAATGCACAAGTGGAAACCAGGAAGCATGGTTATTTCTATAGCATGTTTCTCTGAGCGAGTCTCTCTGTGCCTCCGTCTGAGGCAGAAGAAAGACATGACAGCCTGTTCTGTCAAGATTACAGCCTAGAAAACGCTGTGGGGCAGATTGCTGCTCTCACCTGCATCACCTTGAATCAACCACACAGAGCTTGAGTGAGATGTAAATGAATAAGGCTGTCTGACACCTAGAACTGTTAGCTGTTGTTGTACTTTGCATTTGTACACTTTTAATAGCATAAGGAGCTCTGGTAGCATAGTGGTTACAAGTTGATCAGCACTTCAAAACTACCAGTAGTTCCACGGGAGAAAGATGAGGCTTTCTGCTCCCATAAAGATTTACAGCTTTGTAAACCCTATGCAGGGTTGCTATAAGTCAGAACCAAATCCATGTCACACCACCATCATCACCGTGGTGGTTGTAAACCCAAGAACCAAATCTACTGGTATTAAGTCAATTCTAACTCATGTTCTTTGCCGTCAAGTCTGTTTCGGCTCATAGCAACCCTGTATAGGGTTTCCAAGAGCAACTGATGGGTTTAAACTGCTGACCTTCTGATCAGTAGTCCAGTGCTGATCCTACAGTGTGACCAAGTCTTCTTATGGTGATGGTTGTTAAGTGCCATCGAGTTTGTTCTGTCTCATAGCGACCCTTTACAGAATTTTCCAAGGAACGGCTGGTGGTTTTGAACTTTGACCTTGTGGTCCAATGCATTATTCCACAGTGCCACACCAGGACTCCATGGTGATGGTAGTAATGATTTACATGTAGAGTTAACATAACTTGTCATTTCTCTTTTCAGATGACCTGTGTAGAAAAAGCAGGAACAGATGAAAAAATGCTTATGAAGGTCTTTCGCTGTTTGGGAAGCTGGTTTAATTTGGGAGTTTTGGACAGTAACTTCATGGCTAACAATAAATTACTGGCGCTCCTTTTTGAGGTTTTGGTGAGTGATGACTTTGTTACTGAAATGTGTTTATGGCATACCACTGCAGCTCTAATAACTCACCCTCAAGGACATAACTGTGCTTCCAGATTTCTACACTGCAATTGGGAAGTGTGTAGTAAGTGCCAAATAAAAGTATTGATTTTAATGAAGTTAGAATCAAATTTAGTTACGCTTCTGAGGAAAGTAGTCTTATTACCATTAGCTGTGCAGATCAATTATTTGTATATTAAAGTCCAAAGAACAAGACACACCACTGGTCTCTTTTTCCTTGGCTTGAATATATAAAATCATGTGTTTCTAATAATGCTCATTGATTGGGGTGTCCTCTCAATGTATGTTCTTGTGACAACAGAATTTTAGAATGTACAGAAAAGGAAGGACTAAAAAGTATTCATCCTTAGTGCATCCAGAGACATTTACAGATCAGAGTGTTGTTTTCATAGTTGAGATTCTTTAAGCATCAGAACATGTGCAGAATGAATTTGCATTTTGAGAATAGTAGAGTAAGAAGTAATGTCTTATATATACCTGTGTGTTTCTTCTTTAAACGTTGAAAGTAATATCGAGTAATGCATTCTTCTGCCTTGGAGGACAGAATGAATGCTTAAAATGTGACTGGTTTTTAGAACAAGAGACATAGCAATATCTCAGGCATGGATATGCAACACGTCTGTGGGAGAATGCAACACGTCTGTGGGAGAGGTGAATGAATGGCTTCGTCTCTTCTTTTTCAATGAAGATTTACTAGCATGCAAGGACTTGGTAAACTAGGTTTATACTGGTGCTCTATGATATAGCAGGTTCCAGGAAACATGTTTGGCATTTCACTGTTAGCGTGTTGGGCATTACTTTTGCACCAGAAGCCAAGACTTAGGAGTATTAGAATGCCTACTGTTTTAACAGCTAGCCATTGTCTTTGCCTCCATGTCTGTTTATACCTTACCTAAGCAACAGTAATTTTCTCATTTCACCAGATTGTATGAAGAATAGTCATTATAAATAAAACCAAGCATTATTATATTTAAACAGCTTTGTTAATATAGTTGCATATGAATGGAAGACAGTCTAAATTGCACTTCACACTGAATAGTGGTGCTATCTGAGAATTAGAATTGAGGTAAGGAAGAAGCCATGTAGTCTGCCAGGCGTATATTATCTTCTCTGGTGGTCTTGTGTCAAGACCTCTCTGCCACTCATAAGAACAGTGTTTCTAGACTCATGGCCAAATGTATCCTCTTTGTATTCATTAGGTAGTTAAACATCATGGCATATTTTAGTTTGTTCTGGTAGTGTAGTGCGTAATACATTGGGCTGCTAACCACATGGTCAGATGTTAGAACCTACCATTTGCTCCAAGGGAAAATTATGAGACTACTTGCTCCCATACAGATGGACAAGTCTCTGAAACCCATAAGGTTCTGTTCTGTACTGTCAACTGGATGGTGATGAATAGGGTTATCTTTGGAGAGTAATTTTCGTAGCTCTTTTTTCTCCTATAGCTCATTTAAAAACATCTTTTAGAAGTTTAATATACATGTATATATATTTTGGTATATATTAAAGAATACACTTGAATATCTATGTAACCTTTGTTGTTGAGTGCCATCAAATCAGTTCCAACTCATAGTTACCCTATATAGGGTTTCTAAGGAACAGCTGGTGAGTTTCAACTACTGACCTTGTGGTTTAGTGTTGTATCCCACATCGCCCCCTAGGACTCCATAAGTCCATAGTAATGTAATGAATGCCTTTGAACTTACCACTCAGCCGAAGAGTGGCCCTAATGAATAATTGCATTATGTGTTCTTCTGATACTACTTGTCTATTTTCTCCCTGGAGATTCCAAAGATCCTTGTTTATTATATATATTTTTATTATTATTCATGAAAAAATCAGAAACATACCATAAAAGACAAAGTATGTCTTCACCGAATGTTTCCAACCTCTCAACTACTCTTTAACATAGAATCCGCGAATTATATTCTTACACAGAAACCCCAGTGGCTTCCCTCCTTGAACCTCTTGAGCTTCTCCAGTTTGTAACAGGTGTTCTTTTGATCTGTTGCTTCCGGTTACCTTCCTGGGATTTCCCTTTGCTATGTGTCTTTTAAAGGAGCTCTGGTAGCATAGTGGTTATGAGTCGGGCTGCTAACTTCAAGGTCAGCAGGTTTAAACCACCAGCGGTTCCTCAGGAGAAAGATGAGGCTTTTTGCTCCTATAAAGGTTTAACAGTTTCGGAAACCCTATAGGGGTCACTGAGTCGGAACCGACTCCATGGCACACCACCACCACCACCATGTCTCTTTTAACATAGTAAATTAACAATGGATTAACAGCTATTTTAATATCCTCAAAGAATTTCCTCAGAAAGGATAAGTAGGATATAAGATTTACATTTCTGCAAATGTGAGAAATAGTCTTCTTTTTCCTTCATTTTTGAGTGATGGTTTTGCTAGGTATTAGTGTTCCAGGTTCAACATTACTTCCCTTCAGAATTTCCAAAGCCTTGCTCTCTTTCTTGTCTGTCAGCATTCATCATTTGCTAGTGAAAAGTCAGATAGCTGCCTGGTATTTGCTTCTTTCTGTGGGGCCATCCTCTCTCCAGCCGCAGAAACTCTAGGAGCCTCTGGCCTTGGTGTCCTGAAATTTCCCAGTGATGTGGTTGGGTATAGGTGTCTAGTAGTTGATAACCCTTTTCACTTAGCTAATACTAGAGTATCAGGAGAAGGATGGAAATGATCTCCACCAGGCTGCATAGGGCAGGGAACACATGATACTTTATTTGGAGGTACTTGGATGAGCAAAAGGACAGAGATCAGGGATTATTGTGTGACAGTGATAGAGGCATACACGTCAGAAATGGGGCTGGGAAGAGAGTGTGCAGTCACAGACTAGAATTGTTTTCCTGCGACTTGGGTATTTCTTCTTACTCTACTCCTGCTATCTCCCAGCAACAGGATAAGACTTCATCCAACCTACATGAAGCTGCTTCAGACTGTGTGTGCTCAGCTCTCTACGCCATTGAGAATGTGGAGACTAACTTGCCATTAGCCATGCAACTTTTTCAGGGAGTCTTGACATTGGAGACTGCCTATCATATGGCTGTGGCACGCGAAGATTTAGACAAGTAAGTAATTTTGTAAGGCTGAGGCCCTGGGTTTTATCTGCAATATGGTGGAGGGGTTTTAGGTGACATCTTATTATTCATCTGTCTTTTGAGATTCTTAGTGATGCTGGGTAAATATTCAAACTGCATCCTGAAGATGTACTAATATTCTCATCTGAACCTAGAGTGGCAGACTGGAAAGTAGATAATTTTTGCACTTACAATGGCTGAGGCTCTAAGAATTAGGATTGAACCTGACAGTATCAAATGTGATGATTTAATGGGAAGTTTTATTCAGAGGTTTTGGTATTAGAGAATTTGAACAATTTATGTGGTCTAAGTACAAGTGACTGTGATGTAGCACAGCAGATGGATAATGACTAGATGTCTTCAGGCTGCAGAGCCAGGTTTTATTTATTTGATTGACTATGACTGTGAATATGTCAATATAACATCCAGATCTCTGACTTGATGCTCTTACTCTTCTACAGAGTTCTGAATTACTGCCGTATTTTCACTGAACTGTGTGAAACTTTTCTTGAAAAAATCGTTTGTACTCCAGGCCAAGGTCTCGGGGACCTCCGGACTCTAGAGCTGCTGCTCATCTGTGCAGGACATCCTCAGTACGAGGTAGTGCGCTCCTCCAAGTGATATGGTGCTTGTTGGCTCTACGTCATTGTCCCATGGCTAGCATGTTTCCTCCGGGGAAATTGTAGCCTTCTTTTTAATGACTGTGATAGCTAGCTTTGTCCTGCTGTGGGGCTTTCCTCTGTTCCATTTTGTATTGGATTTGGGCTTCTGCTCTGAATCCTTTTCTTTCCTTACCAGATTAGTTAGTGCCTCCAAAACCAAACCAGACCTGTTGCCATTGATTCAGCTCACAGTAACCCTTACAATATAAGCCAGAGTAGAATTGCCCCATAGTGTTTCATAGGTTGTAAATCTTTACAGTGGCTGGTGGGTTAGAACTACTGGCCTTTTGGCTAGCAGCCGAGTGCTTGATTACTGTGGCACCAAGACTCCTTGTAGGTGCCTCAAGTGATCTATTATCTAGTTCTCTTAAAGCAGCCTATTCCTTTTCTACTGAGCCCACATTCTTGGTGGTGGTGCTGGTTCCAACTGATAGTGTTGATTCCAACTCTTAACGACCCTGTATAGGGTTTCCAAGGAGTGGCTGGTAGGTTTGCAGTTAGCAGTCTAGTGCTTATCCTACAGCCCTACTCCAGCTCCATTTATTCAGTGGTTTTACAATATGACAATACTTCCACATTTTTCTCCAGATGAGGGATGGGAATGAGAAAGGGTTTGAAAGAACTTAAGAATCCCCTTTATTCAGAGACTCTTCTTTGAGAAGTTATACCTCCTCCTCTCCACAGTCCAGGAGGTGAGCAAGAAGTGCTCCCCAGTTGAGTCATTGTCTTAATACCTGTATTTTGGACCTTTGATGGGAAAAGGGGAAGGCACTGTTAGGCCAGGGGCACAGGTGTCCTGTGATTCTCAACCCTTTTTTCTGTTATCACTTAGAAGATAGTACTTGTTTACTTAACAGCATCTCAGGAGGGTGACTAGATTTTGATGAAGTCCAAAGCATCTTGGGGAAGCAGTGTTGCACTGCTTACTAACAAGACCAGCAGTGCCAGTTATCATGAATCCGTTCCCACTCATGACGATCCCATGTGTGTCAATAGAACTGTGCTCCACAGGGCTTCCTAATTACCACTCCTTTAAATGGTGCCATGTGTTATCTTAAGATGGACTGTGGGTAAAGTCCCAGTGCTTTTTCTCCTACTTAAGAAAGCAGGTGAGTAAAAGTGACAGAATTATTCATTGGCTGAGTTCTATTCAGAGAAGTATTAAAAAGAGTGTTTGCCTGCTAAGAGGTGTTCTAATTTCAAGTATTCAAGGATCTTAGAATTTGAGGGAAATACTTTAAAAGAGGCTTCCATTTCTGTATGTTTTTCTAAATTCAGAGTCTGATACACTTTTGGTAAAGTTATCCCAGGGTTCAACAGGGAATGGACAGCCAGTCATGTTAAATGGAGTTTGGACCTAAAATTGGGAGGCTAATTATGAGGGAGAAAAATTAATCCTGCTAGAGAAAAGTTGGCTTCTTATTTAGTTTCACTCATCATATTTTGTAGGGTTTTTCCCCCCTATATGGCCTTGGTAATAACTAAACAGTCGTCTTATTCCATTTCTTTTTCCATTTAAATAAACCATGTTCTCCTATTTAATCCAACAGGTAGTGGAAATTTCCTTTAACTTTTGGTACCGACTAGGGGAGCATTTGTACAAAACTAATGATGAGGTTATTCATGGCATCTTCAAAGCGTACATTCAGAGGTTGCTTCATGCCTTGGCTCGACACTGCCAGCTGGAACCAGACCATGTAAGTGCCCCATTCTCTGTCTTTATATCTCCATTTATCTTAACTCAGAAAAAAGCTAATGGAACCTGCACATTCTCTGTCTGCCACTCTATAGCTTACACTGAAGACATCAGTCTATTTAGTCTCTGAGTTAAACAAATGGTTAAGCATTCAGTTACTAGCACAAGATTGCCAGTTGGGCCCCACCCAGAGGCAGGCACCTCAGAAGACAGGCCTGGGGGCTAGTCCTGCTCTGGACACACAGGGACCCCAGGACTCGGCATCTACAGCAAGTCACAGCATCCTAGCTGTGTAGAAAAGTCACTCTTGCTGGCCCAGTAATTCTTCTCCTGGAAATTTTTCTTAAATTATACCATAGGAGAAAAATAGCTAATTTATAAGTTTTTTCTACAAAAGTAAAAATAGATAGTACATCCAGGAACAGCTGTAGAAGATTGGCACATAAAGTTGACATGGCAACATGGTGAACCTTTTTGCTGCAGTAAAAAGTAGTTATTGTTAGGCATAAGATAGTAGGCTGCGTGAAACAATGGGAATGTGAAAGTTTACACTGTTTTTAATAATGCAAAATAGTGATTAGACTAAATATAAAAGTGAAATATTTCTATCAGGATGTTCAAAATTGCATACAATTTTCCCAGCACACAATATACACGTTTTGTTTTTGTCTTTTATGTTCATTTTATAATTAAAAGGAAAATGCAAATATCTATTGGCTTAGAAAAAGATACCCTAGAAATTTTGTAATATTGTCCATTAGAAACCTCTTCGCCCTTCTGTGCTTTGCTTAAAAACAAAAACCCATTGCTGTCGAGTTGATCCCGACTCCTCGAGCCCTGGTAGGGCAGAGTACAGCGGTTCTGAGTACAGGGTTTCCGAGGCTGTTAATCTTTCCGGGAGTGGACTGCTAAATCTTTCTTCAGCAGAGCAACTGGTCGATTCAAACCCAGCAGTCAAGTGCTTAGCCACTGTGCCTCCAGGACTTCTTAGGCTTTAATTGTTGTTATTAAGGATTGTTGAGTCAGTTTCGATTCATAGCAACCCTAAATAGGGTTTCTGAGTGGCTGGTGAGCTTCAAACCAACCTTGCAGTTGAGCACATTCGCCTGAAGTCTCTTCAACTTTTGACTTCATTTTGATTAGTTGTTGTTTAGTCCTCATTCTTCAATCTAGGACCTGAAGTTGTTTGTATTGCTCATAAAAGCTGTTCATTTCAGTGTCTTTACTGAACCATGGTATTTTGTATCGTTAAGACACTATGAAGATGGTCTAATATCGTAGTAGTTTTCAAACATTTTTTGTGATTGAACTGAGGAACCCTTGTTTCAGTTAATCTTTAATTAGAAGCCTGCTCTGTCCGTCATAGCAGAGCTGCTCTGGTCTAAGTAGCTCTGCTTACTTGGCCACCTTCTTCTCTGCTAGCTCCATATCTTGTACAGGTAATTTTTAGCACTTGGCAAGTGTATAGTGCTTATAATTCTATCCATTGTCTATCTGATACAGCCATTATTTATTTCCTCATCTTAAAAATAAGGAGGTTAGATTAGATGAGCAGTTTTAGTAGCACTAAGGAGTTTCCAGCTACGCAGGTTCCAGTATTCTCATATGTGTCCTGAACCTATCACAGTTGGTAAACTTTTCCTACTTACTAGCAGTGTATTGGAATGGGACAGTTTTAAGATCCATGGAATGTAAATGAGCTCCAAATTTTTGAATGGAAAAAGCAAAGGTAAAATCATTTCATACTGAATACTTGTCTACCCACCACCTAAATTGTATCGTTAATATTTTATTATACTAGTTTTATTATGTATCCGTCTATGTGAATTTTTTTTTTTTTTTTTTTTTATAACAAAGTTTGATTCTTTGTGAAGTTACTGTGGTAATTGTTGGTTTGGGTAGGCCTTGAACTCCAGAACTTCAGAGCCCAGGTGAAGGCTAACAAGTGGGACCTTATCCAGATAAACACTTAACAGAATTTAAATGGTTTTCATAGTTAAGGTAGAGGAGAGGTTGTGTTGGCTTGTCATACCTAACAGTTTGGGAGACTTGTCTGTAATAAAACCTGTTTTACTATAGACAAAGATGTTTTTGTCAGTGAATTTAAAACACATACCATCTGATTTGACATTTCAGGAGGGGGTTCCTGAGGAAACTGATGACTTTGGAGAGTTTCGGATGCGAGTGTCAGATCTGGTGAAAGACCTCATTTTCTTGATTGGGTCTATGGAGTGTTTTGCTCAGGTAAGCCCAATTGGAGATTGTTGCCAATCTTACTGATCACCTTAATTGTGTTGACTTCTATCTCTTCTTTAAATATCCCATCTTATTTCTTCAATTTCAGTGACTAAATGGGATACTAGATATGCAGGTGCCTAGCACACTGCCTGGCATATAGTAGCTGTGTTTATTTAGTATCTTACAAGCCAATTGCAGTCTGTAGGTGGTTCTGTTACCTTTGTTCACAAGAGCTGTTAGGAATTTGCAGCTGTTAATGGAAGATCCATAGATATGCATTAAACCTCCAAGGATACTTATAGGGAATTTGGACTAGGCCAGGAAAAGTAGATTCGTTTCCAGCTTTAATAATTATGTGCCAATTCCTGGCAACTCTCTTAGTTATTTGGCGTTTCCTTTGTCCACACTTATGGTTCGAGTCCTGTGCAGTTTCATCCCGAAGTGACTATATTAGAGTCCCGTGCTTTCCCTGACAATTAGTGAGTAACATTTTACCTTGTAAAACACTGTGGATGTAACCATCACCATTCCATGTCACTTAACATTAGCGTAATTCCAGGTGGTTTTCATGTTGTTAGATCATGCTCTCATGGGCTCTGGAATCAGGTTTGGATGCTTTGTTGCAGCAAGACTGAACTAACCTAATTTTCTCTTTGTAACCCAGCCATTTTGTATATATTTGGGAATAATCTGATATCAAAAATGTTAATAAAATTATAACTTTTTTTATTAAACAAACCAGGTGTATTGACCCACCACCAGAAGGTTAGAGTTCTTAGGAGCAGATTGAGCAAGGTCCTTGGGTCACAAGACAAATAATCAATTCTGTTCTCACGACTTCTGTAGCTTTGAGCAAGTCACCCGATCTTCTCCAGACCTCAGTTTATAAAGTTATATAAATCATCAGTGTTGTCCCTAGATATGTTCTGTGGAGAAAAAGTTCTAGCAATTAAAATTGGAAAATGATTTAAATAGTGTAAAGTCAACAAAAGAATTGTTCAGTTTTGTTTTACTTCACTTTGCCCATAATTTAACTGCAGAAATCTTATTTAGACTAATACCTAGTTTCATGTGTTGCCATAGGTATATATACTTTGGAAAATTCTTGACTAGATCTGCTTTTATTTTGTTAATTCTGCTTGGCTGTGGTATTGTGATAGGTACTTCTAAGCAGCTCCTTTTTAGGGTTAGGAATTTCAGTTCTACTACCAGCGCTAATGTGGACAAAGTTAAAGCAATAGCAATTTAAAGCTAGTACATATGTGGAGGATTTACATTTACATTACAGATCAATGTTAAGTGTGTTTATCAGGACTAGGAAAAGACACTCATGTAATATGTTTTGTTCTTTCCAATATCATTTTCTAGGAGCAAATGATAATCTTGACATGTATACTCTTGGGGATATAAATGGGTTTATTTTAAATACGAAATGAGTAGTTGCTTCTAGTTAGTGAGGATGTGAAGAATGAAAATAACATTCTCCCCTGTCTCTGAGAGGTACTTTAATTAGATTCAGAAACAAAAGACCGGATTTATTTGAACTAACAGGAGTTTTTGTTTTGTTTGTTTTTGGACTTCTGCTCTATTTTCCTTTTAATGGATCCGTAACCCACCTCTTCTTCTCTAGTTATATTCCACTCTGAAAGAAGGCAACCCACCCTGGGAGGTGACTGAAGCGGTTCTCTTTATCATGGCTGCTATAGCAAAGAGTGTGGATCCGTGAGTGTCTCCTAAGTCTTTTGCTGGAAACTAAATATTGAGAGGAAGGAGAATGACACCGTTTTTCTCTTCTATAAAATATGCATAGAACCCCTTAAAACGTCTTTCTTCTGTAGTGCTATCTAGTCTTCCTCTAGAGTCTAGTCCAGGGCAGCCTACATTGCTAAAATCAATGTTTTAATCACACTGCCTAGAGTTAAAATTATTTCTCCCTTGATGCTAAGAATAGAATACAGGTTTATTTTTCCAACCCAGACTCCCTTGTGAAAGTTTTGGTTTGATTAAGAATTTGGCTCCTTAAACTGTTGGTGCTAAGTAGGAACTAATTTGATCTCACCTGCTATTGTAACCTTGGGTAAGTTATCCTTCCAAATGATGAATCACATCATTCTCTGTGTTTCTGTCTTAGAGAATCATGAGTGAGCTTCAGAGAGGCCAGGCCTTAGGCACTGTTTTCCCACAGAGCAAAGTGTCGGTAGCGCAATGACTATTTTCATTATTTCTGTTGGGAGTTTTTTTTTTTTTTTAATTATTAGAACTTGATATCTAATTGCTTAAGCATAGAAACTCTGTTCGTGATCTTAGTTTGACTCCCTAAAGACAGAATTTATTTTGTACCAGGAGTTTATAAATTGATCATAAATATTTAACAGGAAATCGAACACCTACAGTTAAGTTCCTATTAGAGAGATGGTTCAGACATATTTATAAAATGTACAGGCCTTTCTTAGCAGCTTTTCCTGGTCAATAAAATCCTATATTGTTTCTAATCCAGTAAATATTCAAGGAGATTTATTTTACTTTAGATGTTTCTGGTGCTTAATTACATACCATAACATTTACTCCTAAACCAACTTTAGTAACTTTTGTAGCCTTCATTGGCAGCCTGAAGATTATTAAAATCACTAGTATTCTGATATATGTGGTTTGATAAAGGATGAATAGTCCCAACAATTCCTGTAGTGACTCTAAGAAACAAGTCATACATGAGAGATTGTATATATTTTTTATTTATCCACATTTCAAGCCCAACTGCATGATTATAATTTTAAAATTCATGTTAAAGGACTTAATGGACTTATTTTATCAACAGGGGGTGCTCTTGTTCTAATCCAGGATATTATTACATTTGAAGATTTTTTTCATTTATTGGATTAAATTGTATCACATTGGGGACATTCTCCACTCTGTTCAGAAGAACTTCATTCAGTACACTTGGGGAGAGAAAAAAGGGAAAAGAAAAAACAAATTCATGGAGCTGTGGAAAGTGGTTAACTTTAATTTTCCCTAATGTTCCAAACTGAGGCACTCTTACTCCTGCTTCTTTTCTTGCTCCTTGACTTAATAAGGGACATTTAGCTGGCCCATCCATACGTCTCAGTATTCAGCTGCATGTAATCTCTAGGGGAATAACAGCTAATAGGAAATGATCTGTGAGAATTACTTATTTAGCCATTCAGCTATTGAGTGCCCACTATGTGCCAGGCACTGTTCTAGGTGCTGCAGATATAGGAATAAATAAAACTGATTCTGTTTAAAAAAAAAAAAAAAAATTCAACCATAGTAAATGCCTGCCTCTCCAATTTGAGGAGCCTGTTTAATATCATGATGTGGCTTTGGACACTTTACTATCATTCAGAAGCTTAAAATACAGTCTGCTTATCCTAAAACAAAGATCTCTTCCATTTCTGCCTTTCTCCCTTTTTTGAGGATTTGGAAAAACTCTCGTGCCCATCGTGAAATACATTTGTACCTTAACACAAATGATTAATTTATTTAGTAAGAAGTCATTTAATGATGATACACATCATCGCAGCCTGTTTTTTGGTTAGAGCATAACCTCTGAAATCGGTAACTGTGAGTACTTACCTTCTGTGTTCAGGGAGAACAATCCCACACTTGTGGAAGTCCTAGAAGGAGTTGTCCGTCTGCCAGAGACTGTCCATACAGCTGTGCGATACACCAGCATTGAGTTGGTTGGAGAGATGAGCGAAGTGGTTGATCGAAACCCTCAGTTTCTTGGTATGTGTGTGTGAACTCTCTGCTTGGCTTCTACAATGTCTGATTTTTCCTCTTTCCTTTTGTTTTTGTTCTCATTCTCCTGCTACCTCTTTTATTGGTATGTAGAATATCCATAAAAGCATTGAGATTAAATGTTTAAGTTACTGCATAGTTGAAACAACATTTTTAATCTGATCAGATGTGAAGGAAAGACCTTCAAAAGATTAGCCCTCCAGAAAGAAACCCAGTTTTCTTCTAGAACTGTGTAAGCACAAGCTTACTTGTCTGTCTTTGTCTTTGGTATATTCTTACATGAATTAGACCTGCCTAGACGCTACGTACTAACAGGTTACAGCAAAGGAGAGAAGTTTTTGGTGTTAAATTCATGTTATAAAAATTTAGGAATTTATCATTCAAAACACTTAAATTAGTACAAATTAAAGAGTGTTGAGTTTTATAACCTTGTTGACTGAAAAAAATAACTAAAGATCACATAAAATAATAGTTTTAGATTTAAAGTAAAGCTAGAAATCATTTATTGTAATCCTTTTGTTTTATGGATAAGGATGTTGAAACCCAAAGAAACTGAATATTTTATCCAGGGTAATATACATTCTTGTTGTAAATGTGCCATGGAGTCGGTTCTGACTCATAGCGACCTTGTACAGGGTTTCCGGGGCTGTAAGTCTTTACGGGAGCAGAAAGCCTATTAAACCCTTGATATTTAAGAGTGATACATTCTGAGAATTTAAATACCACCCATACCTGTAAATAGTTACATCATTAAGTTTGATGTGTTTTCTGTATATATTTTTTTCCCATCATTTTGGCTTGATTTTATTTTGTGCATGATTTTTTCTTTTCAGACTGAGAAACTTGCTGAAAAGAGTGAGGAGATGTACCTCCCTTGTTTCTGTATGCAGAGCTCCTGATTGAGTCATTCAAACTGTCACTGAGCGCCTTTTCAGTCCCACATACTGGTTTAAAACTGACTCAGAATAACTACTTTCTAAGCCTGTGATTTTGTCATTTTCATTAACTGCCTGTGAACCATTTCCCAAACAAAGTAGTTTTTTGTTGTCTTTCATATTTTCAGATCACGCTCAGTAAACAGCCAAGCTAGTCTGAAATGCAGCCTTGTAGTAAGAGATCATTCAGTACCACTGTGCAGTTTCTCATGCAGCTTTGTGCCTCCACAGGAAGACAGATTGCTACATGTCTTGGACTTTCACACTAAAGTAGTCAAAACTAGTACCAGTCGATTGAACACACTAAGCAAGTCTGCAGTATTACAGTTATGTAGACCAGATTCTAGGGCTTATCATTTCTCATCTCTGTTGGGCTTGCGTTCTGTTTTTGGATTGGTGGGTATTTGGTCATTATTCTAAAAATGGAGATTATTGTTTTAAGTGAACTTTAAAATGTGAATCCTTTAATTCTTCAGTTCTCTTACCGTTTGCTATCCATAATCTGCTATTTAACCATTGTTGTTGTTAAGTGCTGTTGACTCATAGTGACCCTGTATAGGGTTTCCCAGCAGTGGCTGGTGAGTTTGAACTACCGACCTTGTGATTCAAACTGATCTGCTGGTCCAGTTGTAGTATCCTGCAGTACCGTCCCAGGACTAATATATGAATTTAGTTAGTTTTGGTTTTTCTTTTCCATAGAAAAACTTTCTGATTTTTATAAAGGAAATGTGTAATTTGTTCTATTATAACCAACTTTTTTAGAATTCTTACATTTGTAAAACAGTGAATTTCATGTAAAAGTGCCAAAGATTAATCTGTATGTTTGAAGACATTTTGTAACTACACGTACTAAAGTATCAGCTGTAGACAGATGTCTTGATCCTAATTAACATAGGCTATTTTAAATTTATTCTTCCCAGGGAATAGTGATAATTTTCTGAGCTTTGCCTTTTTTCTTACATTGTTGTTAAGTGCCATCGAGTTGGTTCCAACTCATAGCTGTCTAGGGTTTTCCGAGGAGCAACTGGTGAATTTGAACTGCTGACCATGCGGTTATCAGTCCAGTACTTAACTCTACAGTGCCGCACCAGAACTCTTATTATGATTTTAGGAATTCTTAATACCTGGAATGGTCATATATGCTTATAAGTCGTGATTTTCAAACTGCTCTATGAAGTCCTTGGGGTTACAAGGAGCCAGCGGCCAGCTGCCACGAGGGAGATAGGTAGGCTTGGGCCTTCTGGCGCTGTGCAGTGAGGCTGCCTCAGTTTCTATGTTTTATATCTTGGGGTCCTAAATCATGTTTCCTTTTTCAAAAGGGATTCTTTGGCTTTAAAAAAACAACGAAGACCTACAGTCTGTAAACCTAAAAGTTTTCCTTGAGTTGCAACCATATCATTGCTTTGGTCTGACTTTTCTCCTCAGACCCCGTGTTGGGCTACCTGATGAAAGGCCTGTGTGAAAAGCCTCTGGCTTCTGCTGCAGCCAAAGCCATTCACAACATTTGCTCTGTCTGCCGGGATCACATGGCTCAGCACTTTAATGGACTCCTGGAGATTGCCCGCTCCCTTGATTCCTTCATGTTGTCTCCAGAAGCTGCGGTGGGCTTGCTGAAAGGTATTCCTTCTGATGTTTGTCAGTAGCCGTTTCCCCTCAGCCAGTACTTGCAGTTATCTTACCTCAGTCACAATTGGTTGTAAGGACTTAGTGAAGGTGGTGTTTACACTCAGAGGAGACTGTGGCACCAACATTCTTTTCTGAGCATAAGGCTATATAATTAATTCACTCTTTTGTAGTATGTATAGCTCTGACCTAGATTTTGTGTGGAGACAGCATATTTGAACTAAACGTTGTTGTTAAGTACCGTGGAGTCGGTTCCTACTCATAGTGACCCTGCACAGGGTTTCCCAGGCTGTAAATCTTTACGGGAGTAGAAAGCCTCATCTTTTCCCCGTGAACTAAACATAGTTCTACTTTAATTTAGAGAAAGAATCAAAAGGGAAACCAAATACACATTGCTATACCAAAGCAGTAAGTGGAGGATTTAAAAGTAGTGTTCATGGTTCAGTATCATAACAGAAGTCAGAAGTAGACTTGAACCCTTGCTGGTCAGCTACTACTTACTATGTTGCCTCTCCTAAGACAGCTCACGGAGTCAGGAGGCTCCAAGGACTAGAAGAACAAGAGATACTAAGGCTGAGGAAATAAGATTTCAAATAGATCTTAAGCATGGTGGCTATTTTTAAATATTTGAAGGATCATCTTAAGGGTCAGATTTATTATGTGAGTGATCAGTTATTGGCAGTTAGTAGGGAAGCTAACACAGACTTACTTTCCAAAAACAAATTGGTGTGCCCTGTGAAGTAGTGAAGTCCTTAAAGCTGGTAGTAGAAGGACTTGGGAATATTAAGTAAAACGCATAATATGACCAGCACTGTCTCTTTTAAGCATCGGTGAGTGACAGAGTCAGCCTTGACAAGATCGGATGATCCTGTATGAACTAATTCTGTTCTTTTTTATGTTATGACCAAGTTCTCTACTAGTCAACGTGATTATGCATTTTCCAATCCAGGTTTTCTTTTTGTTGCGTTGTTGTTGTTATGTGCTGTCGACGTGCTTCTGTGTAGGATTTCTGAGGAGTAGCTGGTGAGTTTGAACCGCTGACCTTGTGGTTCAAACTGACCTTTTGGTCCGACGCATTATCCCACGTTCTACACCAGGACTCTGTAGGCATGGATACAAGACATTAAATTGGAGTCAGAGATTATTACGACTTAACTGTATACTGCTAGTGCTCATTGTTGTTGCCGTCTTGTTGAGTTTCTTGTGAAATTTAACCTTCGTACTGAAGTGATGATATCTAACCTGCAGTGAACACAGCATCCTATATCATTATTTGATACTATATTTTATCAGTGGTATCTTCTATTTCATGGATGTGTCATATACGTTATTACTTGGGAGAGTGAAATGAGGGAAGACTTTTATAACTTTGGAAGTATTTTAAAAACAAAAAAAGTTTTTAAAAATTTAAGTCTTTGAAGAGTTGAAGGGAAACTTACCGTAAATACCTGTACACCAATAGGAAAAGAATGGACTCTTTCGGTTAGTCTGTATATGACGTAGACTAATGTGTTGCATTAATTCAGCTTTTCTTTCCTCCATCTGTCTCTTCCTTTGTTTTTCAGGGACAGCACTTGTCCTAGCCAGATTACCTTTGGATAAGATTACTGAATGTCTTAGTGAACTGTGTTCTGTTCAGGTTATGGCATTGAAAAAGGTGAGTCTACCAAACAAAATCAATAGATGTCACTCTGTTCATAATAAAGATAAAAGAAATTCCATTCATATTAGCAATCATAAGCTACCACGTTTCCTTTACAAGTATTGTAAAGATGTTAACTCATCTTAGTAGACATAACCAGTAAGAATTTTAGGAGAACTTGACATACTGATTCTAATGTTCATTTCGAATGACACACTAATAAGAGCATCTAATATATTTCAGGAAGGAAGAATGAGAGGCAACTTGTCCTTTCATCATGTAACATGTGATAGAAAATTACAATGATTTTTAAAGTTTGATGATACTGGTACCAAGAATAAACAGCATTTTTTTCATGAAATAGGTAGTCCGTAAATAGGTTCATATGTACGGCACTGTAGAATAAGCACTGGATCCCATGGTCGGTTTGAATCATAAGGTCATCAGTTCAAACTCACCAGCCACTCCTTAGAAACCCTACACAGCATCACTGTGAGTCGGAACTGACTTGATGACACTTAACAGCAACGTAGTAGTAGTAATAATAATACATAGACATATACATATGTGTGATTTTAAATAAATGATCCAAGTGTCAAAACCCCACCGGAGAGGAAGAAATGAACATTTCAGTCAATTCTCAGGAAACGAAAACTTGTGGAGGAAAAATAGGCTTAGATGGCAATCTCTAACTATAGCTTGGATGTGGAACTACTTTGCACATAAAAGCAGTAGAAGAAATCAAAAGAAAAAGTGCTAGATTGATGGTTTACACATTGTGTATTTAAATTACATAAAAATTATAAATAAAAAAGGCAAACTTCAAATTAGGGAATATTTGCAGCATATGTGATAGAGGTATTATTCTTATAATGTTTAAAGAGTTCATACAAATTGCTAAAAAGTATATTTAAGACCACAAAAGAAAAATGGAACTAGATATTATTGGGCCGGAGTAGATTGTTCACAGAAAAGGGAACAAGTGACTTTTGAATGTGGAAAAAAAATCAGTCCTCATCATAATAAAAGGAAATACGAAAATTAACTGCTACTGTTTTCTACTCTCCAATGATCAGATAAGAAAATGTAATTTGTAGCCTTGGCCAGGATGCAGTAAGATGGAGTAATTTGACAGGATGAATAGGAGGAGCTCTTAGGAATCTGTTAGAAGGAAATTAGCAGAGATTGAGATAGGATTGAAGTAGGGTGTATGTTGCAGTACTTGCTGTAGGTTTTTATACATGAGACAACTGGGTGTTGATGTCTCTATCTCTTCAGCTGTTGTCCCAGGAGCCCAGCAATGGCATCTCCTCAGACCCCACTGTGTTCTTAGATCGCCTTGCAGTAATATTTAGGTAAGAATGGAGACTCTCAAGTGCGTTGGGTTAAAAGCACAAATGAAACCGTTATGTATTGTAGTAAACAAATTGCAAGTTCTTTCTATAATATCCCTTGTAAGGCAACTAAGCCTGTTGTTAGCTAAATTTTGAGGGCAAAGACAATCTCTTGTTGGCAGACCTTTCTCAAAATGTAATTGCTATACTTTGATCTCTAACTCAGTGGTTCTCAAATTTTGAAACATCCAAATCACGTTAGTGCTTATCAATGCACCAAGTGCTGGGGCCCACCAGGGTTTCTGATTCATTTGATCTTGAGTTGCGTCACGGCATTGATGTTTCTATCAAGTACCCAAGTGCTGCTGCTGATGATGACTGTGAGAGCCAGTGCCATGCAGTGTATGGGTGCAAAATCCTAGCAATGGAATTACTCTTCTGAAGTTCAGAAGCACCTGGTGTGGCACTGCGAGTTAATGCTCTGGACTGCAAAGTTGGTTTGAACCTCAAGGTTGGTGGTTCAAACTCACCAGTTGCTCCTCAGAAACCCTATTCACTATGAGTTGTAACTGATTTACTGGTACTTAACAATGACAGTGATTTAAAGGGCATTTGAGTGATGTGTTCAGATGATCCTCACTGAATTTTATAATGAATGATCACTTATGAGAGCTATGGGTAATAGTTGCTATGATGAGTCAAAACAGAGGCTTTCTGTTCGTTTATTAGTTAATGTCAGAATTTATCTTTCTCTGAGTTGGTGAGATGATTTCCTATTACATGCCATTTTGAGGGTCTATAAACAGCTCCCATTTCACAACAAATAAATGAAAATCTGAGTGAACAGGAATCAGGGCTTTGGGTCCTTGATTTTTAAACCTTGCTTTCCCTTCACTAGTTTTGGTTGTTCTCTTTTCAGACACACCAACCCCATTGTGGAAAATGGACAGACTCATCCATGCCAAAAAGTCATACAGGAAGTAAGTGTTGCTGGATGCCTGCAAACCAGACTCACAAGGCTTTGGGGTTACTACAAGTGGGAAGGCTCCAGGTTTACTGTGAGGCTCCCTTGGTTGAGATGATTTGAATTGCAATGAATTGAGGAAGAAAACCATCCAAATAAATACTTGTTATTTTGTATTGGGTAAGAAAACAGGCTGAAGGACCAAAGGAAAGCTCCTGGGATTGACAGGAGGCCTGACAAAGCCAGTGAGCCCTCTGCCACTTCAATTCCCCATTGCTGCTGTTTTCACCAAAGGAAGTCTTTAAGAGCCCAGAGGCATGTTTTGAGATAGGCTTTCCAGACTTCATGGGAGAAAATTAACCCATATACCAAATATCCTTAAGTGTCAGTAGATATCAAATGATGCCCATTCCTTAACTCTAGTTCTTTTGCTCAAGGACTAGAGCTGCTAGTTCTTTTCATGCAAATCCAGGAAGTCCAAAGTTAAAAAGATGTGTGCATCTGTCTTTGAGTAAAGTTAATACATATTCTTCTTCCTCATCTGGAGTCATTTCATGTTTCTCTGAACAAGTGGTGTGTTTCAGTGATTGATGGTAGACATGAACACACATATTCTACACACCCCGGGCAAAATCAAGCCACATGTATTCCTATAAAGAAAGCTTTACCTAAATCACGTGGAAGCATTCTTAATTCAATAGTTTCTCTTTTGTTCTATTTCCTTCTGACTCAGATATGGCCAGTTTTATCTGAGACGCTTAACAAGCACCGGGCTGATAATCGGATTGTAGAGCGGTGTTGCAGGTGCCTCCGCTTTGCTGTCCGCTGTGTAGGCAAAGGCTCTGCGGCCCTGCTGCAGCCACTGGTCACACAGGTAAGGGAAATGGTGTGTGCACGCACAGAATGAAAACTGGGAGCTAATGAAGTGGAAAAGACAGGTGTTTATGTGAATACAAATGACCAAATATTTGAGAATGAGGTGTAATATTAGTGGTCGGTACTTTCTCCGTAAGCACAAGAATTTACCTGTAGCACATGATGACATTCTGGATAGTGGTGCAGTGTGCTAAAAGAATGACATGGCCAGTGCATCTTATTTTTAATTATCTTGAAAAACATGTGACAAATCAAACTTGTAGTTTCTTGGCTCAAGAGGATTGCTTACGTAAGTCTGTCATTTGTCAAAAAGTAAATGTGACTCTCTGCATCCTGAAGATTGATATAAATGAGAATGGTGTGACTCACTGTGTAAGGTCTTCCCAGATCTCAGGACATGGAGAACTGCACTGTGCAAAATACCCCTGCTCTGGCCACTCGTACTTTGTGTTGATGTGAAGCTGAGAGCAGAGCCAGGTCTAGGGTGAGACCAGTGAGCTAACTCAGAGTACAGAAGTTTGGAGGCAAGGTTGTGTGCGTAGCAGTCCTGGATTGTCAGAACTCTGAGGATGCATCTTCCTGGTGATATGCCCGTGCTGTGAGGGAAACAACTCCAGGGTCCCCAGGCTAGTGCCACAGCTGTCCTTTACCTGGACCAGGCAGATAGGGTGGCTCACTCTAAAGGAGGCACACACTCTCAGGCAGTGTCACGCACTTGCCTCCTGAAGTTGTGTATTGAAGCGCAAGGTTCACAGGTTAGTTTTGTACAGAATTGTCAGTGCTTTTCTACACTCACCGTATTTGAGTACAACAGTACAATTGCATTTCAGAGGTGTCCACCCTTCAGTGCTGCAGTGCAGTCTATAAAATGTACCTTGATTTATTGCCTTTGCTTGTAGGAGGATACCCTCATGACTTTAGTGTCATTTTTTATTCCTGATAATTAAGTGTGTAATTATCTATATATTCTAAAGTCAGAATTTTGTGCCAGATTTGAAAATTATGCTTGAAAATCAGCAAATGACAGTCAGTGGTCCTGCCATCTATTTTTGTGAGTAAAGTTTTATTGGGACATAGCCATGCATAGTCATTTAAATCATCTTTTGGCCGTTTTTGTGCCCAACTGGCCAAGTTGTGTCCCAAAACCAGATGACCAGCAGATCTTAAAGTTTCTACTGTCTAGCCCTTTGAGGAAATGTTTACCACCACTACCTTAAATCATCCATTAAGTAGAGTACTTAGATTTGTGTACACAACACTAATTAGATCAGATCTTCCATCTCATGCACATTCTGTGGCTTATGCTGATGGAAGAATCAGTTCATCTCTTTAAATGTACTCACTTTTTCCTCCTTCCTTCAGCCCCAAGCTTGTAGAGTGGAATTGATACAAGGTGTGTTGTGATCGCAGTTGCACTAGATCACTGTGTAGATGTCTTCCTTCAGGAGCATGCTGTTAGTGGCTGTTGAGTTGATTCTGACCCATAGCAATCCTGTGTGTTCAGAGTCGATCTGCTCCATGGGATTTTTTGTGGCTGGAATATTTTGGGAACCAATTGCCAGACTTGTCTTCCAGGTGCCTGTGGTTGGTTTCATACTTAGGCTAGTAGATGTTAGTCGAGTACTTCACCGTTTACGCCACCTGGGGACTCTGCTGGAGTATCCTAACCCACTGCTGTTGAGTCACTTCCTGCTCATAGCGACTCTGTAGGACAGATAACTGTTCCGCGTGTTTCCAAGGCTGTAATATTTACTGCAGTAGACTGCCCCATCTTTCTTCCACAGAGCAGCTGCTGGGTTTGACCCACAGACCTTTCACTTACTAGCCAAGTGCTTAACCTTTGTACCACCAGCCCCATGCGCACACGTGCATGCACACCACCACCCGTTTTTTTTTCTTTTCTTTGTGTGTGGGTAAGCTATTGCTATGGCATGGATTCTGTCTTAAAGTGGCTGTGTTTAGGGCTTCTGGGGCTCATCAGTCTTTACGGAAGCTGACAGCCTCATCTACTGTGGAGCAGCTGGTAGGTTTCTACGTCTAGCCTACCGCACCCTCGGGGATTCTTCTTCTTGGAAAGTGCCCTGGAATTGGTTCTGACTCCTAGTGGACCTGTGTGGGTTTCTGAGGCTTTAAATCTTTGCAAGAGTAGAAAACCTCATCTTCTCCTGTATTTTGAAGAACAATGAGGTAAAAATCCTAAAATCATTTAATTTAAATATGTATGTGGTAGTAAAATTTTTTGTGCTTTTGAGATTAGATACTTTGATTGAAGCAGTTTTTTACTTGAAAAAATTAAGTAGGGAGGAGGTTAGAAATAATTTTCAGAATTTAAACTGTTTTCATGTTTTTGTCCAAAATGAGGGTGTTTGATATTTCTGCCCATACTGTGACTATCTACGGGGGACTTTCAAAAAGTTTGTGAAAAAATGAAATTAAAAGATAATAAAAATTTTCCATGAATTTGTTGCTACTGCTATTGAGTGCTGTCAAGTCAGTTCTGACTCTCTAGTGACCCCATGTCCAACAAAGCACAAAACTGGCCAGTCCTGCCATCCTCACAGTTGTGGCTGTGTTTGAGCCCATGTCAGTTCATATTGTTGAAGGGTTTTCTCTTTTTCACTGACCTGACTTTACCAAGCATGATGTCCTTCTCTGAGGTCTGGACCCTCCTGATCACATGACCAAAGTCCATGAGCTCTAGTGTTGCCATCCTCACTTGTAAGAAGCATTCTGGCTGTTCTTCCAATACAAGAACAACAGAAGATTTGTTTGTTCTTTTTTTCTACTTATTTACAATACAAATGTGAGCAACCTTGAGTGTTAGAAGGCTGAAGTTTATGGCCCAGGGTTTTGCAAATTGTACGTAAGCCTTCCAACTGAAGTATTAGAAAACATTCTTAGAACATTTATTGGCAAACATTAAAAGGGCAAAGGGTTGAAGGAACACTAAAGAAAAAACTCAAATATCATTGAGGTGTTAGGCCCTGTGTTCTACAAAATTTTGCCAACAATGTGTACTATGTTGCCTTAAAGCAGGCCTGGGGAATGTCCAGCCTGCAGGCCGTATCCAGCCCACAAAATCATTTGGTCTGGCCCTGCCAAGGCAGTCGCAGTTACAGCCATCACATTGTTGTTGTTAAGTACCGTGGAGTTGGTTCCGACTCATAGTGACCTTGCACAGGGTTTCTGAGGCTGCGAATCTTTACAGGAGCAGAAAGCCTTATCTTTCTCCTGTGGAACAGCTGGTTTCAGACTGCCAACCTTGAGGTTAGCAGCCCGATTCATAACCACTATGCTACCAGAGCTCCTTAGCCATCACATTAGGGGCGAGCTAATTAAATGTTTGACCAATTATAGCAGGTTAATTTTTAATTTGATAATTTTGTATGGCCCATGAATGATGAAAGACTCCCCACCCATACCTTAAAGAGATGAACCAACCTACCTCTGCATTTCTAGATTGAAACAGTGTTTGAAATTGTCACTTGGGAGGAATAAAGAATGAAACAAATGATTTGTGTGCTCCATTGGCAGATGGTGAATGTGTACCACGTACACCAGCACTCCTGTTTCCTCTACCTTGGCAGCATCCTTGTGGATGAGTACGGCATAGAAGAGGGCTGTCGACAGGGACTACTAGACATGCTACAGGTGTGTGTCTTGGAGGAGGGTAGATTCATTTGGGCCAGAGATCTAGAGCCTAGGAGTCCATCACTCTGTCTCAAATTCTTTTGCCTCCTGATGTTCCCCCAGGCACGCTCATTACCTTTTAATAGTTAAGATAATTTTTTGAAGAAGTAGGAACCTCCTAGCTTCACTCTGTGGACAGGCATGCTGGGAGAACTGCCCACACCAGTGTCAGTAACATCACATGTTACTCTCTGGCTTACAATCTCCAGAGGTAGGATTGTTGTGGTTGTTTTGAGGATTGAGTTGGGGAGAATAGCCCCAAGTTCTCCCCAAGATGTCTTTTCATTCACAATTGAAATTTCAGTTTTATAATTACGACTTCTGCTTCCTTAGTGAATGAATCCATAGATAGTACATAAACGCAGCCAGAAACAACTAAAACGTGGAGATAGGATATCTACTTAGTTTCACCAACTAACATCTATGTTCTAGCAACCCTTTCTGGAGGTGTGGACTTCAAATGAAAAAACTTTAGGTTAGCTGGAAAAGATTCTCTGTTTTCCTGATCCTATTCTCAGGGTGGTCTTTCCTCACCTACGCCTCCCTGTGTATGTGTACCATTGGCCAGTCTAAATGCTGTGGATCTATGATGACTTCTTTTCCATTCCTTGTCCTGTTTAGGCACTGTGCATCCCTACTTTTCAGCTCCTAGAACAGCAGAATGGTCTCCAGAATCACCCAGACACCGTAGATGACCTCTTCAGGCTAGCCACCAGGTAAGTCCCACCAAAGAGCAACCCTTTTCTTACTGCTCATTCCCATCACTGCTTAGTCGTGCCCTCCTCTTATATTGGCTGTGCCCTTTTCTGGAAAATACGGTCTTTGGAGTAGGGTAGATTTGTGATTTACAACCCCAATTTCAACTATGAACCAGTCTATCCCTAGAAGTGAGGCAGGAAAGTTGGGTGGGATCCAAGGGAGAAGTGGCTGAGTTCCTGTCATGAAGTAGGGAGCAAGTACAAGTCAGTACAAATGTGCTTGACCAAAGCAATTGACTAGGTGATCTCTACAGGCCCCTGTTGCTTTAACTCTTTATGTTACTGTGATCTCATGCAGCTCTTTTCTTGAATCAGAGGAACATCTTTTACATATGATCATATAGAATAAAGAGGGCTTTGGATTTCAAGGTGTCTTAACAAGTTATCTGGTTTTGTATCTCCTTACTTCACCCATTGAATTCCTTCTTGGTCCCTAAGGAATTTGAACCAGATGAGTTAATGAACATAAAAGCATTTAAGTGAATTAAATTTTTTTTAAAAAAATTCTTAAGCCAATTACCTTAATTGGAGACCAAGAAGAAATTCCCCAGAGGGGTCACCATGTGTCCACTAGGCAGCCAGTACTGGCGGTAAAGGAATTGAAGGTGGCAACCTTAAATTCTGTTTCATTTTTCAAACCAATTATCGTGTCATTTTGATTGGCGCCCTGGTGACATAGTGAGTTATGCATTGGACTGTTAACTTCAGGGTCAGTGGTTCAAATCCACCTGCAGGAGAAAGATGAAGCTTTCTGCTCCAGTAGAGATTTACAGCGTCAGAAAGCTGATACAGGGTCGCTGTGAGTCGGAACCGACTTGAAAGCACACAATAGCATCCTGTCATTTTGAAATTACAAAGCTGTACTGAGTATTCCATCTGAAGACTAAATACTGAGGATGCTTTTGTTAGTTTTTGTCCTATTTGAAAAAACATTGTTGGTTGTTTTTTTAGTTTATAGTGAAAGAATTGATTAGTGAACTTCCCACATTTCCCATGGTGTGTTCCTTGGAAAGAGAATCAATCCCTAGAAGAGCTTAAAAGAAAAACAAAACCAGCAAATACTTCTTTTTTTTTTTAAATGTTTTATTGTGAATTATATGATAGTTTACATGAGAGAACTTTAGTTTTACTACATTCATTCTATCATTTCATTGCCATGGTTCCAATCCCTTCCATGCATCATCAACCGACCAAAGGGTATATATACCCTATAAACCCGCACCGCCCCAGTCTTCAGCACACAGTCCCTCTCCCTCTCTGGATCCAAAGTCCCCAGCCGCTTCATCACTCCACATCATCGTCTCTGCCGCTATCTCGGGCCTCGCTGCTTCTCTGGGTAGGGTCCCGCTCTCGGCTCTTTTCCGTTGATGGTACTAGAGACCTCTGCTCCTAGACTGGAGAGTTAATCACTCCCTTCCTTGCTATAAAACATCTACCTTTATATTTCCAATCCTCACAATCCGTCCTGATAACAATTGTTCACTATTGTATCACAAGTGACCCATCTGCGTTTCATTTCATCAACTGCCTAGACAGATTGGATAGTACTCACTGGAGATTCTGCCTTCCTCCATGCCCCCTGGCTCTAGGTCCCCTCTTGAAAGCTTGTAAGCCAGTCACTTCTCGCCTTTATACCCCCCACCCCCACCCCCACCCCCCATCCCATTTTGGGTAGCCAATGTCCAAGTCAGCAAATACTTCTTAAAACCCAGTAATTTCCCAATTTAGTTTACCATGGAACCTTTTCTATGAGAAATTCCAGTTAACATCCTAGAAACTGGCCTTCTGTGGAATATAGTTCAGGAAATATAGTTTGCTTTTCTTAGGGTTTGTAGGACTTAGCTTTTTAACCAGGGAGAATTTCTGTGTATAACCACTTTTAATTAGCCTTTTTGGGAACTATCTGATATGAACATAAAATTGTAGTTGGAAATTCAGTTTGGGGATGTGGTTTTTCATATGCTAATACTAAGATACGGTCCTTTCCTTGCCCTGGCTGCTTTTATAGCCAAAACCTGGCCTTTCTACCTAACCTCTCTGTCCACACCAGGTTTATTCAGCGCAGTCCTGTTACCCTGCTGAGGAGCCAGGTGGTCATCCCCATCTTACAGTGGGCCATTGCCTCCACTACCCTGGATCATCGGGATGCCAACTGCAGTGTCATGAGGTTCCTCAGAGATCTTGTTCATACAGGTGTAGCCAATGACGTAAGTGTGTAAACTGTGTACTTTTCTACTTTGTGGCTCATCTTCTCAGATCTCGTTCTAGACACTTAAGGAGAAACCAGCAGCTCCTTACTTAATCTTAATTGCTGGAGGTGGTCATTTACTAGCCACAATATCACTATGAGATCTAAGACATCTGTGTTAAGTGCTAAAGGATATATACCAAGCAGCCTAGAACTGTCCCTGCTCCCAAGGCACCTGGTGTTACCAGATCGAGATGTACACAGTTAAATAGTGATAGGACCGAATTTGATTGGTAGATGAGTGATAATAAAAGGCATAGTTGCTGTGAGTACAGAGGAAGGGAAAGCTCTTTGGGCATAAGTGGGCTGGGATCACTTTCTGCAAGAGGAGAGACTCAGACCAGCAGATTGGGTGGACTGGGAAAGGAGAATGGCCCGTGACCAGAGAATGGATAGCACCATGTTAGAAAACTCCAGAGCAGTTTGGCTGGAATCGGAAAGCGGCTCACAAAGTTTTTCCCAGATAGATTTTAGTCAGATGTGGAGTAGAATGAAGATAGTGGAGAGCGATAAAGAAGGAAGCCAATACATGGGTAGGCTAACCATTGAAAAAGTTTGGCTTTTAGGAAGAAAGAAAATAACTAGAAATGAAAGGCAGATTTTGAAAAGATAAAGTTTCTCCTCCACATACCATTATATGCAAAGACAACAAGGAATAAGAAAATAATCAAGATTAAATTATAAAAGCAAGAGAGAGACAGCAATATGGTATGATTTGTTGTTGTGAAGTGCTGTCGAGTTGGTTCTGACGCATAGTGACCCTGTATAGGGTTTTTGAGGAGCAGCTGGTGAGCTTGAACCGCCGACCTTGTAGTTCAAACGGCTTTGCAGTCTGGCGTGTTTAACCCACAGCGCCACACCAGGACTCCATGGTATGATTATTGTTGTTAGTGCCGTCGAGTCAGTTCCGACCCATAGCGACCCTGTATATAGGCTTTCCAAGGAGCAGCTGGTGAGCTTGAACCACCAACCTTGCATTTTAAACGGTTTTTCTGTCTGGCACATTAACTCACAGCACCACACCAGGACTCCCATGGTGTGATTAGAACCCTCATAATTGACATTGCATCCACTTGGGATAACAGTCTGGCAGTTTCTCAGAACAATTAAAATACAAAGTTACCATGTGCTGTGCTGTCAAGGAGCAGATTGCCAGATGTTTGCCCACACAGCACTGATGGATTCAAACCACTAACCTTTGCGCTATCAATCGCTCACTTACCCATTGCATACCAGAGCTCCGTAGAGTTTCCATATGCCCTAGGAATTCCACTGTGAGGTATCTGCTTAAAAGAAATGAAAATATGTATCCACAGATAGCAGCATCATTCATAATAGCCAAAGGATAGAAACAGCCCAAATGCTTAACAGTAGACAGTGATCGGACAAACATAATACAGTGTATGAGTACACTGGGATGTTCCTCAGCCATAAAGGAAACGCAATATTGGTACATGGTGCAGCACGAGTCAGCCTTGGAAACATGCTGAGTGAAGAAACCCATCACACAAGACCCTAGTTTATACAGTTCCTTTCATATGAAATGCCCAGAATAGGCAACTCAGTTTGTTGTTATGTGCCGTCAGGTCCATTCTGACTCAGTGACCCTGTGTAGGGTTTCTGTGGAGCAGCTGGCAACTCTGTAGAAGCATAAAATAGGTGAGTGGTTATGTAATAGGGTGATAGCTAGAGGATCTGGGATTTCTTTTTAAGATGGTGAGTGTGTTCTAAGATTGACTGGTGATGTGTCTGTGAATATGCTAAAAACCATTGAATTGTATGGTATATGGGTTTTATCTCAATAAAGAGGGTTTTTGTTTTTCTGTTTTTAAGGAAATGGCTGTACTCAAGGTATTTTCCACAGGAAAAAAAATTAAGAAAATTTATACCCTTAATCTTTCTGCCTTCTACCTTTGAACGTTCTAAGGGTTAAAATTAGTCTCAGTGAAACTCAAGCCTATTTCCTCAATCTTAACCTACTGACAAATACTCCATGGGCTTTGTGAACCCAGCTGTTGTATATACTATACATCCTTCCTTCCCCAGGAAAGAGGCCGTACTGAAGGACAAAAGGGTTCTTGTTCTTTGGAAAGTTGTGACTAGAACTCAACTATTTTGCCTGCTGTCTTGCAGCATGAAGAAGACTTTGAATTGCGGAAAGAACTGATTGGACAGGTGATGAACCAGCTTGGACAACAGCTTGTCAGCCAGCTACTCCACACGTGTTGCTTTTGTCTCCCCCCCTATACCCTTCCTGACGTGGCTGAGGTGCTCTGGGAGATCATGCAGGTTGACAGACCGGTAAGAGTCTTTTCACAAGGAACCCATCCTCAAGTCTCTAAACCTCACAGACTTCAACCCAGACTTGCAAACAGCCATGTTGTAAGTCCATGGGACGTACGTAAGTTAGGTGTGTTGCTACCTTTAGTGGGTAGGTAAAGGGGCCTTTAGAAGACAGGTGATCCATTATTGGGTCCTGAAAACATGCTTTGTGTTCTGGACACAGGGTTTCTGTATGACCAGAAGTGAGTACTAAACATTAAAGTCAGCCAGTGAGAAGTGTGCTCACTTATGAGAGATGACCACATGGAAATTACAGAGTTGCAGGTTACTCAGGACATATTAATTCACTTCTAACTCCTTGTATAGCACAGCTAGAAAAATCTAGCTACAGCATTTGGTGCCGACACGCAGGTCTCTGTCACCTTGGGATCTGCTGGCAGCCCAATCCAGTTCTTCCCAGGTCTTTCATCACCTGAAGAGGGACCGTCCTGGACCACATAGTCAGTTGTCAGGTTATGTGCACCGAGTGTGAGTTAGGAGGAAAACACAATGTCTGTGGACTATTTCTAAAATAGAATTTATCATTTTTAATACTAATAACAAAAGTAGTGCAGAAAATTGCACCAGTGCACCTAGTGAAAGCCAACTCTTTGCCCGAGCCATGTCTTGTAAGTATAATCCAGACACATATTAATGTTTTTCCTTACTTTCTATCACTGATGGCAGATTTTAGCCTCAATTTCAGCAGTTTGAAAAAAATACAGTATACACTTTTACTGATAGTTAGGAGCTACTGAGCTAGAAGTTCTGGGTTTCATTTCCCTCTGATCCAGGAGTAATTTTTGAAAAGTAAGAAAGTACTCTTTTGAATCCCTGGGGATCAACAAGTTGAATTCCAAAATCCTTGATTGAGAAAATAAGCTCTCTATACTCACATTGTTTTCAGCACTTAGTCCCCATTAGCAAAAGACTCATTCTGATTTTACCAAACTGTTCTTGATTTGCAAACATATGATTAAGTGATCACAGAAGAAAATGGGAGCAGTACGTCTGGGCAGGCATAGAAACAGCTAGTCGTGTGCTTCTTAAGTATTTACTATATAGATACCCACTTAATTGTCAAGTAATTTTAAATGATTGTCCTCTATAAACATCAACTTACATGTGAGTGTTTTTATTGCTCTAGTTTTTAAAGGAACTCTTAATAAATGCGAGTTGTCTGTACCCCATAAATTTATTAAGATTATAGCTAAGGACTTGAGCCCAAAGAAAACAAATTCCTGCCCACTCCTTGATCATAACATTTTCAAATTTCACACAAATCCTTCAACAAAAAGATAGCATGCCAGCTTTCTCTCAGTGACTTGCATAAACTACTAAAAGCCTTTTCTCTCTCCCCCTTGTTTATGTCTGACACCTTCCTTGACTGTACGATGATTAAGTACTATTATGTGCATGCTAGTGTGTTTTGTTGGGGGGAGAGTATTTTAGTTAATTTATGAGCCATTTTTAGATGCCAACATTTTTGTCATTTAAGGGTTCTTTCCTGAATATTTTGCCCGTTTGTCTTTTGAGTGGAGCATCGTTTTCCCTAAGGACGTTTGGAGAATTTTGCAATTCTTCATAAGTATTTACAGTAAATATTACAGTAGTTATTTTTGCTCTGCTCTGTTCTGATTATGAATGAAAATAATAGGAAAGTAAATTTAAAAGTTAGGCCTGAAAAGGTAATTTTACAGCAAGAAAACAATAGCTAAAGTATACATTTTACTTATGAAGACGATGAAGAAAAATGGGACTTGACCCAAAGGAGAATGATTGAGCCAAAAAAGGAAGTCTCAAAAATTTTTTTTTTACATTTATACGTTTTTTACATTTTTACATTAAATCGAAGGAAGTAAAGTGGGGTGGGGAGTCAAATAGGTGTGCATGTGAAGGATAAAAAGAACTGTGCTTAAATATTTCCCTTTGCCTTTGGAAACAAATCGTTTCAGTAACAACAGGAATAAGATTTCTGTTGAGAAAAAACTTTCTAACCCAGAGAGCTGGCACATTCCAGAAAGAAATTGCATGACTAGAACTCCTCCTGAGGCAGACAGCCTTAAAATCCCTGAGGTTCTGGGTTCAGGTTACTGCTATACAGCTGACATCTACTTCTCGCCCCTACTCTAGTTTGCTGACTGAACCTTTGCTTTGGATTGTATTGGAGCTTTAATCTTAAAGAGTTTGCTGGCATCTACTTAATTTTTTGAATGAGGTAAATTTTAAGAGACAGAACAATCACTTCCTCCAAAAGAGACTTGGGCATTAGAAGTAGCACCCGCTGCCCCTTTGGAAGGAAGCCCAGGTTTGCAAACTGGAGTGTCTAAGCCCAGAGGACTTGAGCCTGAAGACAGATATTGGTTAGCATCTTTGTTTGGCCCCTGAGTCTAGGGGAGCAAATGCTACTAAGGAGAACATGCTAGATGGTGTGTCTATAGAGCCCCATTTGAGTTAAGCCTTGCCAACATTTAAAATCACTATCCCACTTCCCTTTACAGACTTTCTGCCGATGGTTAGAGAATTCCTTGAAAGGTTTACCAAAGGAGACAACCGTGGGAGCCATCACAGTGACACACAAACAGCTTACAGACTTCCATAAGCAAGTCACCAGGTGAGGGGTGCTGGGGTTCCCCAACAGGACTCCGCGCAGCAGCTGGTAGGGAGAGGTGGGGTAGGAACAAACGGAGCTTTGTTTCTGATACCATCTTAGTCCCAGATCTTTCTGAGTGTGTTTCTTGTGTGTCCTTGTAAATTCACAAGTTAGTCTGTTTCTCCTTGAATTACATGAATTGGCATTGGAAGCCAATTTGAGAGGGAAACATCACAATGCCATGTATACACGTGATACCAAAGGATGAGCTTTTAGATTCATAAACATGTTCTGTTCCTCATAATGCCTCAAAGTCTAGATCTTTCCTCATCTTGAGTATTTTTCTTTAAATGTAATCACTAGACCAAAGATTTTGAACCTCTATAGTCCTTGATAATTTTCATGAGAGCATCTTAAATGTGGTTAATTGTGTGCTACCTGACCCAGTTACTCCCTTAATTATCTATAGTCTTTAAAATTTTGGGTGAATTTTAGGCCATGACTTATATTCACACAGGCGTATAGGATGCCAGAGTGAGTAGTTCAGTGGGGTTGGTAATAGGAAGAAAATGGAAACTCTCTTCAATGCCATCAGTAGAATACACTGCAGTAAGTCACAATCTTTTCTGATAATTGATTTCTTAATGTTGCTTTTCAAAAATAGTTTGTTCTCTGATCTTCCGAAGGTTTGAATGTTAAAGTCCTAAACCATTCTTGTTTAGTGGCATCAGGTCAGTACTGACTCATAGTGACCGTACCACAACATGAAGAAGCACTGCCTGGTCCTGGGCCAACCTTACAATTGTTGCTGTTTGAGCCATTGCTGCTGCCACTTAAGACTCTGTCACCATAGATTTCAGTGTCTTCATCTGTAAAAGGAGGTGTTATATCAACTGGCGATCTGTCAAGGTTTGGCACCTAGTAGAAGATCAGTGAACATTGGCTCCTTTCCTCCTGAAACGGAAACTAGCAGAGTGTCGTTACGCACTTATATAACTAGCCGGGGCATGTCTCTGCCGGCAGTAGGCAACCACCCACACAGTGTGGAATACGTCTCTAAGCCTATAACCCTTGACAGGGTGAGTCTGTGAAAGATGAAACAAAAGGGTGGGTCTGAAATCAAGGTCATAAGCATCATTCTCTAATTTAAGGAAAATCTTCGGTCCAGGAGAAGGGCCCTAAATAATGCAATAGTGTGAACAAAAATGCCTGTGATGAGGAAGATGCACTGTCGTGTGTCCGTCCCCTATCCCATACTCCCCCCGCCCTGCTCAGTCACTCATTGCTAAACGAGTTCTGCAGCTCCTCCTGTAGTCAGCAGTGACATCATGGGGGAATGAAGAGCAGCACGAGGAAAGGTTGGGTGCACAAGAAAGGGCTTGAGGTGGCTCACCTGTTTGTAGTTCATTCTCAATCTCTAGTGCGCCTGCTGCCCTTGAACCTTGACTTCCTCACGTGATTCAGTCTCCCTTTTGGTTTTAAGGTTCTGCAAAATTCCTGCCTCAACAGGCTGTGTTATTTGCCATCGTAGCAGGGAGGGTGAACAGGTTCCATTTGATTTCAGCAAGCCCAAGCCTGTTTTTCACATGGTACTGCTAATTAACTCCCTAGCTGTTTCAGTGGGTCATTCATCTAAAATGCCATTCTTTCTGAATACCAGTTGACCCAGACTACCACCATTTCCCACGCTTTGTCCTGGTGTTCACTCAATGACCTCCTGACTCCCGTGAGGGATCTTCAGGGTTGAAAGGTGTTGGGACCAGAGGCCAGTGTGGGGGTACCTTCCTGCTCAGGTTGTCAGTGAGGCTTGAGTGTTCTCTCGGTGTGCCTGGACATGAGATCAAAGGGGCTGCATTTCTCGGGGCTTGAAGAAAGGACAGACTGAAAACAGTTCGTCTTTGCAGCTTGATTTTTTAAAAGGAACTTATCAAATCCATTTCCTTGACTTAAGTCACAAAGTCACTTAGTGATTGTACTTGTGGTTGGAGTGCTTGAAGCAGGGCTGTTGGCCGGTGGGGGTCAGAGCAGGAGATGAGCTAACTAGAGACACTGCGGCCTGACCTTTCTTTTCCGGGTCTCACTGTGGCCCTCCTGCAATTAGGTGCATCCAGGGTGGTATGGCCATAGACTGACCTTACTTCTCAAGTGTCACAAAAAGAGGCTAATGGTTGAGCTGTCATTTCTCTTGCGGAGTAATCCAAGATCTCTGGATGAGGAAGGGGGGCGAGGTCAAACATGTCAAAGATGTTGGGGTGGCAAAAGAACCCTGCATAGAGCACAGTCCTAAGCTCTGGGATTTCCTGTTGTCTCAGGCCCTTGTGGTAACGCTGCCACATAGTGGCTTCTCTTGGGTTGCATCCCTTCCTTCTTCTGACTCTGGAAGGCTTCACTCGCTCTGCCTGTCTCGTCAGTGGTCAGTACTGATTGGAAATACTCAGAAATGTCATGCTTTTCTGATGCTTTTTAAAGTTCACAAGAGCAAGTAACAAAATTTCAATAAAATCAGAAGAACATTCTCATTCTATTACATTTTTAGTACGGAGAGAGACAAGAAGAAAAATTTAGACTATTCTGTTGAATCAAGCCAAGGGTCTAAATCAAGGTTCTTACTGATGTTAAAGATCTGTGGGTCGATGAAGGTGATAGCTCTCATTTCGCCACCTTTTCTCTTGAATCATTCCAAAATGGAAAGAACTTTCTTCTGATGTTGAGTCTTGGCTGTAGGCACATCCCGGGAGTGACCCACAGGACAGTGAGCATTCTAGGAAGTACTTTCTGCTCCAGTGTTTTTAGCTTAACCTCCTGTTTAGTTACTAAAAACTTTTAGGAAGACAGACACAAAAGAAGGAAGCCAGCTAATTTTTAAGAGACCTGTTGAAAAATAGGGTCTGATGAACATGAGGCTTTTTGAGAGCCTGTACCCTCTAGCACTGTGAGTTAGTGCACTGGGTTTTGCAAAGTCAGTTCGAACCACAAGGTTGGCGGTTCAAGCTCACCAACTGCTCCTCGGAAACCCTATACAGGGTCACTATGGTTAGGAACCGGCTCAACTGCACTTAACAACACCACCACCCTCCATGCAGCTCAGTGTTTGCTGAAGACCACCTTCAGCTTCCTCCTTGTTTCCTACACTTCTTATTTTTTTTTAAGTTTTTATTGTGAATTAGGTGGGTTTACAATTTGGAAGACAACTATCTGGCTGACTGATTGGAAGAGCTCAAGGTGACCCAACAGAATGCGGAAATCATTGGACAATCTCTTTGATATCTCAAGCGAGTAAAGTTTTGCTAAAGGTAATACAGAAACGTCTACAATAATACATTGACAGAGAACTTCCAGAGGTTCAAGCTGGATTCAGAAGAGGCCGTGGAA